AAGGTAACAGTGGACGGTAATAGCGACTTGAATGTGGCTCATCTCTATATCCGCCACAAGCAGGCGTGAGCGTGGGTACAGAGAATGTCCCACTGAGACATGCACATGTCTACATGTAATGACATTTTTGACGAAAACAAGGGTCCAACGTGACTGAACTTTTTTTATCACATGTGGACACTTTATCGGACAAGTTGGACGTTTGGTGGACGAGAAAGTCCCGCAACGTCTCGGGTATTTCGTGACGTTGTTGCAAGCGTATTAGCAACGCGTGAGTCTCTTCCTGCATCTTGAGTTGCACTTGACATTCTAATGAGTGTAATAGCGCATTCTGTGCGGCGCTAAGACGCGTCTCCCGTACGCTACTCAATGGCATGATTGTCGATGCGACGTATATATGTGTGGTCAAAAGACGCTTGGATTTGACTTTATAAGGAAGGCAAAAGTAGTTGTAAGCTCTTTTGGGTCACTTGTGATCTAAATTGGGCACTGTGTTCGCAAATTTTATCGAATCATGAAAAATAAGGAGGCTACTTAACTGAGAACTTAACGGACACAGCATATCTGAACTTTGTAGAGCAGCGGCCCGATAGCAAATAGTTGCGAAAGATTGATGATTGTACTCAATTGAATATAATTAAAGTACTAGAAATACAGTTGGAAGATGTGTGAGTAGAAAAGTATCAAGTAATATCAACGATGGATAACCGACACTTTGAGTCGACTCCAGCGTCTAAGGTTACAATGTAAATACCACCTTTTGCTCGAAAAAGCTCAGTGCACGGTCAAAGGGTAAGACATCGTCAAACACAAGAATCTCTTGTCCTTTACGGCCTACTATGATTGAGTCCACACTTCGACTTTTCGAGACGCTATCGCAAGATTTGCTTGTGTGTGGGTAGATTCTGTCGAAACTTTGACGTGAGTGGCATTGCCACCGATGAGAACACCGACGTGATAAACAATGTTGCCAAATCGTGATCGCGTATGCAAGACTTACTGTTATCGTGCCGTTCTGGCGTTTGTATGTGGACTTCAATGGTGCTCTTGGCGTGGAAAAATAAAGTGTGTCAGCAACAGCGTGTCTTGGGTCGTGGTCACCGCTCTATTACGAATCCAGTGATGACAGATGGCCAGGCCGCTCTACATTGCCTTGTATAATCAGATAGCGGGCTGTTAATGCTATCATTTCTTGATTTCAGAAGTAGACACATGCTTCCGTTCGACCTTCTCAGCCTGATTCTAAGAGCAAATTACTCGTATTCTTTCAGGAAAAAAGACACAGCTAACGACTTCATTGTACTTATTCAATGTAGAACGACGTTTGTGTTGCCCCATTTGCCATTACATATCTGTAGTCACAACAACCAACCTCGAATACTGTCGAGACTTGCCGCTTTCGTGATTGCCGTGTACTCACCAGAGTTGACAAATTGATTCTTAGCTTCGTAGTCAGACTTCGTCCAATTCGGCATCATATAACCGATGTTCACAACACCGCCCATCGATCGCTTGGCACATGGTTGTTTTCTGACAGTGTATTGGAAGCCCAATATTTTGGATAGTTGAGTTTGACGTCGTTGCATAAAACAACAGAAGCGGTTGCCAATGGACCACGGTAAGGCTTTGGAGTTGAAATGAAGCGTGCAGAACGCCCAAAACTCGTGGGATTTGTGGTTACGCATGAAGTTCGTGCTTTTGTCAATGTAAGAAATAGCATTACATGTTTGTTGCGGTTAGTTCGCTTGAACAGGACGGTGATTCAAAGGTGTAGAGGAAAGTGAGATAAACAGACTGTTTATTTCAACATTATGGATGACACGATAGATGCTCGGATGTCCTAAGTCAAGCGAAGCTGTGTCCAAGGTAGATTCGGAGGGTGTGCGCCACAGTGGGCGTATCTAGGGTTGGTGGTTGATGCTGCTTGGCATCATAAGCGCCATGGTATGCCGTGGAGACCAGTCAAGCGGCCACCGAGTCGAAGTGCGCGGTAGCCTGAGCAACGGCGCAGGTCCTGGGGCAAGGTCCCTTGGTCACTCCTTGTGTGGACCCCTTTGACCTTATTGCTGCATCGCCGAATCGATGACTCGTGGCGCGTCGATGTCGCCAGCCGTGGTCTACCCCCAGTTCGATCGGTAACCGCGCAAGAGAAATACCAACAAAATGGTTGCTAGTACGTCAGCCACAGCACAATCCACTTGCGGCACAACCCCTTCGTTTGGTTGATCTTTCTACCACAGCTATCCCGCTTCATGCGCTCGATATGGTGTTCTGCGTCTGGCGGCGGTGATTACTCGACTTGACGTGACCAATGCGTTGTAGCAGTCTTTTGAGGAATACATGATCTGGGCTTCCGCCGCTATGGCTGCTTGACGTAGGGCACAACACATCAATATCACCACAGCCAGGAGCACAGCAGCGCGTAATCTTCAAGCACTGCAGCGTGTCAAAGAAGAACGGGAGTGTGGGACTTCATGTCGCTATCAAAAACGATGGTAGTGCGACCGCATGCACCTTCATTATACAGCACGTTGTTAATGTCGCCGGCCTTTGTGTGGAGCACGGCGTCACACAAACGTCCGATTGGGTACGCCATGGTAGTCGTAATCGTCACGCACTAAGCCAACAGCGCAGTCGATGCGGTTCAAGATGTGCGGTTTGCCATCGTCAGCATCTTCACAGTGGTGTGTTCCTTGCGACATTCTTCCACCTCCAATTCGTGCGATTTGTACACGCGATCGTACATGAATTGAGCCACCTCGTGACGGGCGTCACGAGCATCCTCAATCACGCTAGTATTCACGATAACCTTAGGAACTAGACTGCCAGTCTCCCATTTGAATTGGCAATATCTGTCGTCGCAGTTCCAAACATGAACGAGGTGAGGTGGATAGACCAAGTTCATAAATCTCTCCAGCGTTGCAATAGTGTCTTCTGCTGGCTCAATGCTGTTACACAACATCATATCTACCGTCGGCCACTAACATTACAATAACCAGTGCTAGAACTAATCTCTTGTTTTCTCAACAATACCAAATAACTAATAGTTTACCTCCTCGGAGAAAATGCGCGGCTTAAAATGACGTAAACAGCGAGCACCACGACGTGCAGACTTCCATATGCCCAAATAATCCAGAAACCCAGCAAGATACGGATACACAGACAAGCTGAAGAGACAATAGTATGACAACCAGACACCAATGCGAGGTTCCTTAACACACGTGTGTCGTATCAATGCCAGCCACCCAATGATACCATTGCGGAGGTTCCCAGACTCCGTTTTCACAGTCTCCGTTTACCCAGACTCCATTTTTACAGACTCCGTTTTATAGAGTATGGGACCATCCGCAATGGTATCACATGTTATCGCACTGCAACGTCTCAGCGTAAACCAACTGGATTTCCTCACATCTCTGTCTTGTCCGAGACTCGATACGAAGACGCAATCATAGCACGATACCTGCGAGCTCAATGAGTGCCGTACTTACAAAGATGACGTACCAGAACCGATAACTGAATTGTCCCTTCATTTCGTGCACGCGGGCACTAGGCAGGTCGCGCTTCACAACATTTCCAGACGTAGCCGATATGACGGCAAATTCAAGTGCGGATCGATTGCAGATAGTATACGTAAGTCTTGGTCCATCTCGTGACATTTATGCCATGCACGATAGCGCGTGTGAATGGCAATACCTGTTGCCGGTAGATCAAGGTGTTCACTTTGTTCAAGCATATAAGCATCACGCAGGTCAACGGCACCCACGACCAGGTCATCATTGTGTGAATCAAAATAATACTTCCGCCAGTCGACATCACTACGAAAGTAGTACATTTAGGCGCCTTCAACGAAGACCTAGCGCCTTCGCCAACTCTTCGCCACAGGGCCTTTGAACTTATGACTCCCCTTCTTGTGCCTCCAACCTTGCACTGAGATCTTGCCCACATTCTCGCGCCCTGTGGGTTTCGTGAGTTCGCTGCTGATTTTCTGAGCATCCATTGTAGACTGTCAGAAAAGATTCTTACCCGAGAAGACAGGTGACAAAAGTTGCGGGTGGTACTTGACGACTGAAGACGTGTCTGTCTTCTCGTACTAAGCTTCTTCATGCGGTGAGTAAATCAAGGTCGGGAGAATGCCGATTGGCCATAGACTCCATATGACCTGTTCTTTGTGTCTCAAACTGGGTCATAGGCTCTTGAAGCTGATCGTATTAGCTTGTAATGGATGCACGAAGATGATGATGGTCAAGATGGTCCAGATAGTCGATTTAATTAGAATCATCTACGCACATGACACGAGAGTGGAACCTGACCTTGTTCTTCTACCATGGTAGAACCGTGTCCGTCCTCGCCGTCTCCCTCTGCGCGCTCGTTACGTCAGAATTTCAAGGAAAAGGGGGACGTCGTTAGGCGTTGATCAAGTGCGGGCCTAGCTTGTCAGACAGCATTTAGGACCGAACAGGACGGCGACTTTGGGCGTATGCAGAAGGGTTAGAACTAGAGATGTGGGAGAAGGCGATCAAGCTGTGTCGACACGCCTTTCCGCGTGAGATGACCTGCGCATCCTCGCCACCTTACGGGTCGCACGTTATGCTGCCTCCTGTGGACTGCGCGTGGCGGAGAGAAGATCTCTCTCCCTTTTGCCTTGACACTAGCATTAGCGACTTCGCCAAAGGTTGGGGCTAGTCGGGACTTGTCTTTGAGGTGGCTTGTACTCCTTACCCGTGAATTCTAAAGTGAGAAAGACAGCGATCAAGTATGAAAGCACAGAAGAATTAGATGAATGTAAACGACTTGCATTCATGACACATCACAACAGCGAATTGAAGGAGAATGACAAACTCGATTTGCTTATCGCTAAGACATGGAGAGTGCTATTCTATCCTAAACTGAGAGAAAGAAAATGGTGATGAAGCGCCATGCACTGTACACGACCATCACAAATTGCTTGGATTATTCCAATAACCGCACAATGAGCGCACACTAGATGAGAAGATCCATCCTTATTCAGCTGGTGATTCAATCTTGATAGCAGCCTGGAATTTTTTCACTTTGAAAGTGGCAGATGACCCTTTTATGATGCGTGTGCCCGCGTCCAACTTTACCAAGTAGTCATTATCACTAATTATTTTGTTGTTCTTGAGCTCATTGATGAACACCATTAGGTCATCATCGAAGTGGGTAACCGGTTGAGTTGCCACGTATGTGATGTACCTGATACCGTTATGATTTCCGATGTACAGATCATAAGCAACATTGGAAACGATCAGTCCCTTGCCCGGGACTGTGTCACCATAAGGTATGTTACCACCTAATGCATTGATCCACACTCTAATGAAGTACTGCACTCCTGTATTGGTTTGGAAGTCTTCAGTGTTCATTTCAAGGTTGTAGGCGACATTCGCAATGACACCAGGTCCTGCAATGTACTCATACTTCATCATTGTCTTAATTGAGGTGACAACATAAAGAACAATGGTGTTATACTTTAATGCAACATTTGCAGTCAAGTTGACAGGAGATGGTTTCAGAGAGTCGTCTGCGTTGAGTTGAGCATACCACGAAACGTCGTTTTTACTAGAGCTGGTCACAGCGATGCACCAATCAACTCTCTTGTCTGCACCATTCCTATTCTGGGAGACAATAAAAGATTCTGTCGGAATCGTTTCCACTTCGCTGCAATATTTCTTATTATTTTCGTAACGTTTGGCATATAGGTCACTACTGCTTGGTTCAGCGGCCAAACGAGTGTTAAGGGCAGTAGTGAAACTAACGGCGAGGGCAGCGGCAGCAATGAAGAGTTTCATCATTGTCGGTTATACTTGGTCAGTCTTGACGATTCCAAAGCAAATTGGTTAATGAGCAAGATTGAATAAATTTAGTTAGCAGAACTATCTCGAACTGATTACGACGAATCCGATAGCTTGTTGAAGACAGAAGTCACAGACATTGATCAGTGCGTAATACAAGTCACCAGGACCACTCATTGTCGTAGCCATGTATCTGGATTCAGCACAACTGCGCACTCGCGAAAGAATAACCTCACGTGGCAAATCCAGTGTCACTGTTCCACGCATGGTGATAGGTTCTTTCAACGTTCTATGGATACTATAATGAATGTTATATATAGGGTGATTTGACACGCTCGCCACTATCCGGACTGCGTGCCCCCACCCCCCCCGGAAAGAGTAAACCTGAGTGCAATTTTCACGATGGTCCAATTTGTCAAGATATATTGAGTTACGTAGTGTTGATTGTAGCAAGGCATATACTAACAATTGCAGGTGGCTCATACTATACGATCTCCTGGTGATTGCACTCTGCGATGATATGATGAGGACACCAAATAAAATCCAAGGGTAAGATATGCATACACACTACGGCCACTCAGTCAATTGACTACACCCATAAATAACCTCAAAACTCGACTCAAGATAAGGGGAGGATTTACCTTACAGCCATTGAACCATAGCTGTGACGACATTGCATAGAATCGATACCAAAGACGACATAAACAGGTAATACCGTACAAGTGGGTACCGTAAATCCATAGGTAATACATACCATTACTATAATCAACAATCCCGAACCCATCATTCTTGGCCAATTTTTGATGATCATAAGGATAGGCACAGTTAACGTAATAGGGATACTATGATCCTTAGTATAAATGGTACTTGTATTACGCCACTGGTCGGATCGCCACACCCTGGGGAGTAAACCTGAGTGCAATCTTCATGTACTGTTGGGAACGAAACGCTGTACTACAATTGTACTTTGGGTGAATAACTGACGTCAGTATCTGTAGAATCGATACCCTGGTCACTGGTCGGATTGCGATAGCCCCGCGAGCGTAATCTTTATGATCGTCAAAAATTGGCCAAGAATGATGGGTTCCGTATTGTTGATTATCGTAATGGTATGTATTACCTACGGATTTACTGTACCTACGAGTAGATTGTATAGAATTTGCACCCTGTATGTCGCCTGTAGCTACAAGTTCTAGGCCAGCTAATGTTACAGTGATAGCTAAATGGCAGTCATTTGAACCTTTATTTCGATCTTGTCTTGAGTGTAAAAGTTTGTTGGTGTAGATAATTAGCTGAGTGGCTCCAAATGTCTAACGACAATTTCGTGTAATTTTGCTTGCAACTACCAGTGAAAGGCTCAATCGTATCATTTTCATAACATGCCTACGTACGTCGTACCCTAGTAGCTCCCGAGAAAATGCCGAGCACATCGTTATTACTATGTAAACTCGGCTCATACTGAAGCAGTAGTCTCTAGTGACCTTAACGCATCGATGTTCACTGAAACGCCTGCCGACATGTAGTAGAAGTAAAAGCAGTAGCCAATGCGGACGGTAACACTTACCAGACCGATTCAGAACAGAATAAAGCAAAGGAGTGTAGTACTATACGCATTTTAACATGGAAAAATGCTTCTTGTTTCTAGTGAAGCCCTTCTGTCATGATTGGGTCGGTTTGAAACACTTTAGCAGTTTCGTCAACCTTAAGGAGTTCCTGCAAAGATCAGGCTTCCATGTCGCTATTACTGTCCTCTGCTACCTTTCACAACCAGAATGTCCAACATGCTTCCGCTTGGCCGTGTATCTTCAACTGCTCTGTCGCAAACTTGTAGAAAAAGTCGGGGTTGTTGCAGCGCATATTGGAAGGACAGCCAAGCTCCACTCGCCAACGAACAATCGGTTGTTTTGTTGTCTCCTTCGATTTTGGTCACGAGTTCATTGCAGTCGTGTTTAGTAGCCTTGGACCAGCTCAACGAAAGCTAAGACAAGAAACACAGCGTAGCGGTGCTGGTCAGCTTTCATGCTGCCAAAGATCTCAAAAAGGCGCTGATCATTCATTATCTACAAGTCCGGGATACACGTTCTGGAGCCAACCCTCTACAATCGTCGTAGGTGGCAAGTTTCTTGCCGAACGATACCTTAGCGAAGATGCCTTCTTCGGAATTGGTCTTCCAAAACGAGCCGATCGGCATCAGGGATGAAAAGGTACTATTATACCAGTACTACAAAGGTTGTATATCGAGCTGTGTGCTCGCACTGCGTGCTGAGTATTATGCCAATGCTGCAAAAACAGATCCACGACGAGATGGGTTGACATCATGACAATGGCAGCGTTTTTGACCGTCGCGGTCGAATGGCACCCCTATTCTGTCATGGGATTCGAACACACATCCGACGAGCACTTGATGAACGTGGACACAATACAGTGCGAGTGCCGCGGGTTTTTGGATCCTGGGATACGCAACCACGCCCAGCAGACCAACGAGTGGGAAGTGTACACTAAACGAACGATCGAGTCTGCTACTACGATATGCTGGATATCATCCTCGGAGATGAAAGTGGCGTGATGGTCATTCAGCTTGGATCACATGTTGTCTAGACTTGTCGCTTTTGTGATTGCCGAGTTAGTCGCCGAGCTGGCAAATCTACTCTCAACGCCTAAGCCGAAATACTGCGCTTGCTGTCATCCAGCGTTCAACTGCCAGCCAACCACCGAGGTTTACGTCTCGACATTTCGCGACGCCATCGAGAGTTTTGCTTATATGTGGGTAGATTCTGTCGAAACTTTGACGTGAGTGGCATTGCCACCGATGAGAACACCGACGTGATAAACAATGTTGCCAAATCGTGATCGCGTATGCAAGACTTACTGTTATCGTGCCGTTCTGGCGTTTGTATGTGGACTTCAATGGTGCTCTTGGCGTGGAAAAATAAAGTGTGTCAGCAACAGCGTGTCTTGGGTCGTGGTCACCGCTCCATTGCGAATCCAGTGATGACAGATGGCCAGGCCGCTCTACATTGCCTTGTATAATCAGATAGCGGGCTGTTAATGCTATCATTTCTTGATTTCAGAAGTAGACACATGCTTCCGTTCGACCTTCTCAGCCTGATTCTAAGAGCAAATTACTCGTATTCTTTCAGGAAAAAAGACACAGCTAACGACTTCATTGTACTTATTCAATGTAGAACGACGTTTGTGTTGCCCCATTTGCCATTACATATCTGTAGTCACAACAACCAACCTCGAATACTGTCGAGACTTGCCGCTTTCGTGATTGCCGTGTACTCACCAGAGTTGACAAATTGATTCTTAGCTTCGTAGTCAGACTTCGTCCAATTCGGCATCATATAACCGATGTTCACAACACCGTCCATCGATCGCTTGGCACATGGTTGTTTTCTGACAGTGTATTGGAAGCCCAATATTTTGGATAGTTGAGTTTGACGTCGTTGCATAAAACAACAGAAGCGGTTGCCAATGGACTACGGTAAGGCTTTGGAGTTGAAATGAAGCGTGCAGAACGCCCAAAACTCGTGGGATTTGTGGTTACGCATGAAGTTCGTGCTTTTGTCAATGTAAGAAATAGCATTACATGTTTGTTGCGGTTAGTTCGCTTGAACAGGACGGTGATTCAAAGGTGTAGAGGAAAGTGAGATAAACAGACTGTTTATTTCAACATTATGGATGACACGATAGATGCTCGAATGTCCTAAGTCAAGCGAAGCTGTGTCCAAGGTAGATTCGGAGGGTGTGCGCCACAGTGGGCGTATCTAGGGTTGGTGGTTGATGCTGCTTGGCATCATAAGCGCCATGGTATGCCGTGGAGACCAGTCAAGCGGCCACCGAGTCGAAGTGCGCGGTAGCCTGAGCAACGGCGCAGGTCCTGGGGCAAGGTCCCTTGGTCACTCCTTGTGTGGACCCCTTTGACCTTATTGCTGCATCGCCGAATCGATGACTCGTGGCGCGTCGATGTCGCCAGCCGTGGTCTACCCCCAGCTCGATCGGTAACCGCGCAAGAGAAATACCAACAAAATTGTTGCTAGTACGTCGGCCACAGCACAATCCACTTGCGGCACAACCCCTTCGTTTGGTTGATCTTTCTACCACAGCTATCCCACTTCATGCGCTCGATATGGTGTTCTGCGTCTGGCGGCGGTGATTACTCGACTTGACATGCCCCGATGCGTTGTAGCAGTCTTTTGAGCAGTACATGATCTGGGCTTCCGTCACTCCAGCTGCATGACGTAAAGTACAACACATCTTACCGATATCACCACAGCCAGGAGCACAGCAGCGCGTAATCTTCGAGTTCTGCAGCGTGTCGAAGAAGAACGGGAGTGTCGCTTAAATAAACATCTTGTAGGGTTTCATGTCGCTATCAAGAATGATAGCAATGCGACAACACGTACCTTCGTTATACAGCACGTTGCTAAGATGCCGGCCTTTGTGCGGTGCAAGGGCGGCTTAATGCGTCACACAAACGTCAGCTTGGGTACGCCATGGTAGTCGTAATCGTCACGCACTAAGCCAACAGCGCAGTCGATGCGGTTTAAAATGTGCGTTTTGCCATCATCAGCATCTTCACAGTGGTGTGTTTCGTGCAACATTCTTCCACCTCCAATTTGTGTGATTCGTACACGCGATCGTACATGAACTGAGCCACCTCGTGACGGGCGCCACAAGCATCCTCAACCACACTAGTATTCACGCTAGCCTTAGGAACTAGACTGCCAGTCTCCCATTTGGATTTGCAATAGCCGCGTCGCAGATCCAAACATGAACGCCAAGTGCATAAATCTCTCCAGCGTTGCAATAGTGTCTTATGATGTTGTGTAACTGCATTGAGCCAGCAGATCTGCCGCCGGCCACAAACATTGCAAAAATCAGTGCTCTGACCATTCTCTTGTGTTTTCAACAATACAAAACAATCAATAGTTGACCTTCTCGGGGGATATGTGCGGCTCAAAATGGCGTAAACAGCGAGCACCACGACGTACAGACTTCCATATGCCTAAATAATCCAGAAACCCAGCAAGATACTGATAAACTCGGACAAGTAGAAGAGAAAGTATGACATCCAGTCGCCAATACGAGGTTTCTTCACACACGTATGCCGTATCAATGCCAGCCGACCCTGCCAGCGACGATGATACCATCGCGAAGGGTCCCAGACTCCGTTTGAAGGACTTGTCACCGCACTGCAACGTCTCAGCGTAAACCAACTGGATTTCCTCACACGTCTCTGTCTTGTACTTGACATCGCGAGACTCGATACAAAGACGCAATCATAGCACGTTACCTGCGAGCTCAATGAGTGCCGTACTTACAAAGATGACGTACCAGAACCGATAACTGAATTGTCCCTTCATTTCGTACACGCGGGCACTAGGCAGGTCTTGCTTCACAACATTTTCAGACCCCGCCAATATGACGGTAGATTTAAGTGCGAATCGATTGCAGATAGTATACGTAAGTCTTGGTCCATCTCGTGACATTTATGCCATGCACGATAGCGCGTGTGAATGGCAATACTTGTTGCCGGTAGATTGAAGGCGTTCACTTTGTTCAAGCATATAAGCATCACGCAGGTCAACGGCACCCACAATTAGCTCATCATTCCGTAATCAAAATACTTCACAGACATCATTATGGAAGTAGTACATCTGGGCGCCTTAGGAGACATAGCTCCTTCAGCGGAGACATAGCGCCTTCGCCAACTCTTCGCCACAGGGCCTTTGAACTTACGACTCCCCTTCTTGTGCATCCAACCTTGCACTGAGATCTTGCCCACATTCTCGCGCCCTGTGGGTTTCGTGAGTTCGCTGCTGATTTTTTGAGCATCCATTGTAGAGTGTCAGAAAAGATTTTTACCCGAGAAGACAGGTGACAAATGTTGCGGGTGGTACTTGACGTCTGAAAGACGTGTCTTCTCGTACTAAGCTTCTTCATGATGTGAGTAAATCAAGGTCGGGAGGATGCCGATTGGCCATAGACTCCATATGACCTGTTCTTTGTGTCTCAAACTGGGTCATAGGCTCTTGAAGCAAATCGAATTAGCTTGTAATGGATGCACGAAGATGATGATGGTCGAAATGGTCCAGATAGTCGATTTAATTAGAATCATCTACGCACATGACACGAGAGTGGAACCTGACCTTTTCTTCTACCATGGTAGAACCTTGTCTGTCTTTGCCGTCTCCTTCTGCGAACTCCATACGTCAGAATTTACGGGGGGATAGGTTGTAGGGCATATAGGTCTCCTTGATCCAGTCTGGGATTAGCTCGTCGGATGCACCCAGGCTGGATGGCACTCAGGCTGGACCCGCACTCGAGCGGGATAGCTAGACTGTTCACACATTCGAAGCAGTCCACAGGCAGGGCATAGGAAACGCTTAGTCGGGAGGGAGGGGAGTCACAATCCACTGCGGGTAGTCCCACGAGCCATCATGACGGCAGCCCAGGACTCTTCCACGCGCTTGACTTGCTCAGATCGTCCGAGTTACACGCGTGAAATGAATCTGGTGCAGACTTGCGCAGATGGCACGACTGGACGAAGAATATCTCGTTGGTGTGGATCTTGCAGTAAGAAACTAGTACTAGATCTCATCAACTGCAGCACGTTCTAGGAAAGCTCGCTTCGTGGAGCAGGAGTTCTCGTTGAGTGATCGGGACAGCGATTTCATGCGTTTTCAGAAGGGCATGATCTAGCAACAAGAAAGAAGGCAATCAAAAGCTATGTCAACGCGCCTTTTCCCGCGAGATGACCGGCGAATCGCCTGCCACCTTGCGTGTGTCACGTTGCACCGCCTCCCCTGAGGACTGCGCGCGGCAAAGAGAAGGTCTCTCTCCCTTTTACCTTGGCGACAAAATTAGCGACTTCGCAAAGGTTCGTGGCCAATCAATATTTGTTTTGGAGATAGTACGTCGTCCGTACCCTCGAATTTCTGAAGTGAGAAAGACAGCGTTTAGCCATGAAAGGACAAACGAGTTATATACATGTAAACGACTTGCATGAATGAACACATCAGAATAGCGAATTAGATGAAGAATGCCAAACTCGATTTGCTTATCGCTTAGACATGGAGAGTGCTGTACTTACTGTCTGGTTCAGAGAAAGAAACTGGTGATGAAGCGCTATGCACTGTACATGACCATTTCACATTGCTTGAAATGTTCTAATAATCGCACGTTGAGTCCACATTCAGTAAGAAAACCCTCTATTATTTACAAATGCGCTGCAATCTTGGGATGAAGCGCAAAATTGCTCGAGGAAAAGTTGCCCCAAGCACGTTCAGTGACGGTTGTACCAGCACGAAAGTGTGCCAGGCGGTCGGACATGCTAATTAGTTTGTACTTCGAGAGGTAATTGAAGAAATGCATTAGATCAACACTGAACTTGTTAGTCACCTCCTTCCTTACATATGTAAACACCACATTTCCATCGTTGTTATGTCCATGGAATAGCTTATAATTGACATTGGCAACCGTTACATCAGTATACGACCCATTAGACGGAGGCAACACATTACCTAGCACATCGATCCACACCATGAGCACAAACGAAAGTTTTTTGCCCATTGTTTCGGGAACCATCGTGATGTAATAGCCGACGTTTGCAATGACGTCAGAACTTCGATCGTAATGATACTCCATCATAGTATCAAGTGACACAATATCACTGAGCTTTCCAAAGTCGAATGTGACACTGACAGTTGCAAGCATCTTAAGCGACTCAAGCGACGAGTGACCAGGTCCGATGATGAAGTACGAATACCAAGAAATCTTATCGTCAGCAGCCTTAGTAACAGAGGTGCACTAACCGACCGACCTGCACTCATTCGAATGCACGAGGTACTAGTTGACAGCATATTTACCCACAAAAATGGTATCGAATCCGCCACAGACTCGATCACCAACTGTAGGGTTAGAACTGCGATAGCACTACCGCTGAGATCAACGGTGGAAATAGTGGTGTGGGCAGTGGTGAACTAGCGGCGAGGGCAGCGACAGCAATTAAAAGCTTCATGGTCGTACATTATACTCATAGCCACAGCTGTCCGGAACAGTACCTCAATTAGCTGGTATCTGATGAATATATGGGACCCATCAACATGAAGATATCGTCGCTGAGTGATACGTCAAGTGTTTGTGAGAGAAGATTGCTGAATCAAAGACTATAGCGATTGAATCTGTCCAACATGTATCAAAGAAAATCACCTTACTAAATGTAGAGTGGCAATGGCTAACACATGGGACCATGTCTTGGCGGTCAGCATAACTACTCAAGTTCGTGAAAGCTATCAATAGTCATCCTCAATGGCACGACATGACAGCGTGCCGTCGCATTCAGTTCAAGCAAAAGCTTCAAATGCCTGACACTGCAGAGCAGAAGGTCAACATATGATTTACAGCAGTCAAGGACTAGCATTCAAGCCATCATCGATTTCGTTGCTGCTGTTCAAAGCAGCGGTACAAGAGCACATGACTATTGTTGTTGCGACGAATGCATCAAAATATACTCATCATTACAGCTACAGTCTCAGTATCTAGTCAGCTTGAGTATAAGCCGTCACATTTTTGATGATGGAGAACTTGTCGTACACCTTTTCCGTGGCCGATTCTATCATTGTGACGGTAAGATTCGTTGCGGTAACTAAAAGCTTCGTGATACCATAGTGCGTATTATCCACGACAGCGAGCCACTCCGGTGTAGGAGGGTTTTTAAACGGGTACAGACCTTCCGAATTACCGCCGTGGCCCGTAATTATGTACACAGGAACAAGCGGGTTCGTGTATGTCCCTCCATCCTTAGACACTCCATCCATGATAGCCTTACTGTCTGCTGTCGGGTAATGTCGCTCGTAGGCGTGCACGTGGCCTTGCAACACCAAATCCACCTTGTACTTGATCAGAAGTTTCTCAAACGCCTTTTGTACTTTAAGAGCCTCGTAGTCGTCTGTGGGCACGCCGTTAGCATCGCAAGACCGCAAAGTGTATAAAGGACGGTGCATGGCAACAACAATCCAGGGCACATTTGCACGGTTGGCATGAGCAGCCTTCAGATCGGCCTCCAGCCATGCCAACTGGTTTCCAAAGTTACCATACTTGCGGTTCGTAAAGTACGCGTTGTTGGGTGGATTCGGGAAGTCTGTTTCGGACGAACAGGCTACTACGTGCATCAACCCGTACACAAACGAGTACCACATGTTAAGTGCTCCACCGCACTCGTGCGAGGGCATCTTAAAACGTGTGTTGAAGGCGGTGTAGTTGCCCAGTTGATTCTTTTTTTCAGTAGACCATATACACACCGGCGAGTGACACTCAGCCTCGTGGTTACCAACTACTACCATATACGCCATGCGACGCATGACTTTGGACAGTGAGTTCATGTACTTGTTCCAGGTTTCCTCAAAAAAAAAACCAAACATGTTCAGTGCTTTCAAAAAAGCGTTGTCGGCGTACGAAATGTCACCGATATGAAAAACAAAGTCAACCTTGCCTACCAAACTGTTAAGGTATTTGTTTGTAGCAATAGAGTACTTCTCCGTACCCATATCTCCCAACACGGCGACGACAGATGGACTGTTGTCTCCACTTGAACGAGCCGTCATGAACGAACTCACTGTACTCTGGGCTTTCGGATTAGTAGCATTACCCACTTTATAGAAGTATTCCGTATACGGCTTCAGGCCAGTCACAACAGCATGGTAGTTGTACAAAGAATAGTCGTCGTCCTTGTAGTACGACTTCGTTTCAATTCTCGCAGTCTTCACTATATCAATCGTGGTTTTGCTAGTTCCAATCCATACAGCTGGAAATTCTTCGAGCGAAAATGTGGCCCAGGAGATCGCCATGCCGGTGCCAGGTTCCTTGCCGGCATAAGCCAAGTGAATTTGCTGGGGTTCCTTCGTGTGATCGCAGGTATCGGTCACTCGACATGCCTGGGATGGCGTAATATCGCCGAATTGGTACTGAAGTGAACACCGATCTTTCGGTTCACAGCTAAACGAAGACCATTTGAACACACACGTGCGGTCATCGGTCATAGATGGATCCATCTGGTCAGCATGCTCATCGGTGGCGTCGTCATTGCTGAAGAAGCTTTTGACCAACGCCTTCAACCCGGCGGACTTGGCTGACGTAACGGAGCATAAGGCAATTGCATAAACTACTAGCTTGACAACAATACGGCTTTGCATTATTTGATTCCTTGGTTGTCAATGTGTACTAACAATATTATATAATAGTAGATGCTGAATTACAAAGCAGAAAATGTCTCAATTTGTATGTTTAGCATTTGATTGGTCATGTCAGTTTGAATAATCGAGATGAAAACAAAAGACTGCTTGTATTCAGAAAAGGTATACGGATTCGATCAGATGCTCAAGATAGGAAATGGGGATTTGACGTGAGCAGTTTTTCGTGAACAATGCCTATATATTCTTTTACGAGAAAAGCGAACAGAATATATATATATATTTGCTGTTCAGACCAAGGTCTTTAGTAGACAGTTACCACAACAACTACGCTAAAGGATTCGACATTGCGTGTGGCTAGCGACCCTTCGATTACAGTCGGACGGTCTTCATAGTTCCGTTAAGAAGATGTTGTAACATGCAGGAAGTTGGTGTAACAAGTTTGCACAAAGGTGTGTTTTATAGCCTGCCACGCCATTTTGGTGTGGCTGTACATTGAGTACCTTTGAACAACGGACTCCCCTCTTTGGTGTGACTGTACCTGAGGTATATGATTCACAGAGAAAGTCACGTGGCCATAGTACTTGGTTAATCACTATGGATATATGTATATTTAGTAAGAAGCTACTGAGCCAGTAAAAATATAGTGACTAGCATTACATATTAGAATCGGTGTATATTCATACCATTGCTAAACGATAAAGCTAAACAAATCAGATCTAAACCTGCTTGGTAAGCGTTAAGTGCTAAAGCATACTTCCTTGGTAAATAAAGAGTATATGATGATATTGGTCTTGTAAATATGTGATTGTGTAACCAAGAAGTCACAAGCTGGATAGCTTGCCTTGTGAGGGAGCTCTTAAAACGCAAAGCTCGTGGAGCTTGTCTTCCTTTGCACTTAATGCATATAGTAGATTGGCTACAGTAGCTCGCTACACCGGTAGCACTTATGGTCAATCCCGTCCGGGGTTTTCGAGAATGAGCATTGATGAGATGTTTGCGGTTGGCATATCGCAGGGACAACAGAAGGGGTGATCTGTTCTTGTCCGGAGTAGCTCATCGTCCGAGGGGAGGACGGGGTCAACAAACGCATTCATATGCTTGACGAATACAACAACGCTCTTGTAGAGCATGTAGAGGCACAAACGCCTTCATCTGCTCCGTCGGCTAGCAAGACTATGGCGCAGAAGGGGCTTCTTATACCAATATCCATTCAAATGGAAGTCGATCAGTTCGACGGCGAAGAAGGTGATAGCCTTATGCTATAGTTCCGACAAGTTAATCCGGCTATGTTTACAGCCGACATCACCTATGAACCGTACCGTGTTGGCTTTTCCACGGTAATTTAGGTGAATTAGCCAAACAATGGGCGTTTACATGCGGTGCATCACTGCAAGATGCTTTCGCAACATGGATAGATCTGAAAATTTAGATGACCCGGCAGTATGCACCGCCAAATCAAGCGCACCGAACTCGGTTGCGATTCTTGGCATGTCGCCAAGGCAAGCGTGAGCTTGCGGCAAATGTGCAAGAGTTGAGAGCTGCCATGGTCATAGACTTCCTCCCTGAAGCAGTGGCCGCTACGGATTTTATGGAAGGTCTCCGAGTTGGCGCTGCCAGAACAAAAACGACTAAACCCGTCCTCATTCTAGGAAGTAGTTGGAGTGTCATGGGTTGACGAGACCAATGATAGGACTGCCACTTATAACGTCTCGTCTGATGAGTCTGTTTACATGTACTGTAGTCAAGTGGAAGAAGATAAATCTAAGCTTTAAGCTGCGGAGATGCAAAGGGTGAGCAGATGTTATATCTGCAAGAGCACCGATCATTTGATGACAGGATGCCCTGCGCAAATGGCATATTTGGCCTACAATGCCGACGCCACATGGGTAAACCCTCTGGTTTGCCGTAGGGAAACGGCGAACTAGGCGCCGGGCGCTCTACTGGGGAAGAACTAAATTCTGCTGAGCCTCACGGAGAAAAAAAGTAAATATTGCTCAGCACCGAGAGATCTAAAATTTCTAATACGGGTCAATAATGCAAGCCAGGCTTGCTGGTGGTCGAAGAGATGATTGAGGGCTTTGATAAGCCATGGACCGTTTTGATCAATTTGGATGCATCGGCCAATGATGCTCAGCGCACTGCAGTTAAAGGTATTCAGTAGTAGGGTGAAGTGCTGAGAGCGCGTGAAGGTGACACAGTCACGGTTTGCTGATCTACATGAACAAGTGTTCTAGTATTATGGCCAGGCGCTTGTTAGCGCCGAGTTTAAACATTAAGGTGAAGGTGGTGCCACGTAATCTTAGGCGATTACATCGCTATGTTTTGACGGATGGTCTATCGTAGTATATTATAAGGCCGGATGATCAGCCACGTGTTGTAGTGCCTCATGATGATGACCTCAAGATACTTATGACACCACTTGGTGGTCATTTAGGTCGTGAAAAGACCTACAGTTCAGTGAGCACCCATTATTGTTGGTCCAAGTTGTACAAATGGGTTGGTAAGTATGTACGAGCGTGTGAAATGTGACAACGGGTGAAAACCTTGCCTAGTATGGCTGCGCCTTTGGTGAGTGTGCCTGTACGCTCTGACTTTGTGTCAGTCCGTTAGTGTGAACATTGTGTTTTGGCCTACCGCGTGATGCGGCAGGCAACACTGGGATTATGGATTATGGTCTATGTTGATCAATTGAGCAAGATGGCTCATTTTTTTAGCGTAGCGCCATACTCCATTAATAAAGAAGGAACAGAAAAGATGTTCATGAATCGTGTGCTTCAACAACGCAGGTTGCATGTGGTAAAAGTCTCTGATATAGACCCCCTTATGACGACAACGTTATGACGTCAGTCTTCAGCGTGCTGGGACTAGACTAGACATGTCCGTGGCGGATCATCCGCAAACGGATGGTCAAACAGAACGTGTGAATCGCGTTATTATTGAAATGCTTTCCTGCGTTTGCTAATACGCCTAAGCAATGGAGCACGATGTTCCAACTCATTGAGTTTGCGTTGAACAACGCGGCGCATGCCTCAACAGGCTTCACCTCGTTCTATGTGAGTGGTCGCGCTTTTCCAGGCTTTCCGTTAACGCCGCTTCTGCCACAGAGGGCTTAGTGGGGGGAGAGATAGCCGGAGGCTTGAGAGCAGCCAACGCAGGTGACTAGCCCGTGCAACTAACAAATTTGAGTGAGGAACCGGGTTGCTAGTCAATCTTCGGTCTACCAGACATCTTGTAAACCTTAACTACGTCCAATAGAAGATTGTCTGTCTCTCTCACTCTGAACTTGGTGCCGGATTAGACGTGTCACTGCAGCTGCAACTGGTGATTTTTTTTAGATTCATGTGCGGAAAGAGGTGATTAGAGATGCCTCCATATTTCCAAACCCATATGCTTTGCAATATATTGCTAGTGGAATGGCGATGTGCCTGTGAGGTAGGTCCTATGCGAATATCGTCTACAGTTTCTCATGATCGGAAAGTCACAGCATTGCATTCGATTAGGTTACGATTGCAATGCATCAGCTGATGACATGTCACTTATTACTACGTAAGTATTGGGTATTACGATGCCAGCACACTGCGTCTTCTCCAGCAAATGTTGCTGACTCACTTAACACTCTAATTTATCACCGGATCCGCAAGAAGGCAGCTTCTTAACAATACTCAAGCTGTTTCTGTTGCTAACGTGCCCATGGCATATAAAAGTTTATTACTGTGTAGGTAAGACAATTGCCATGCTACATATTACGACTAATACTTTCGAGTGTCAGCGTTCAAGATGCCGGCATCGCTGCTTATATCGATAGTAAATAGGGCGCAGAGAGGGTTCGTAATGTCGCCGTAAACGTCGCACCACGTGTCAGGTTTGATGGCCACGACATAGTTGCTGTCTTCTACAACCCGCTTTAAACCACTTCCAATCTCTGGCTTGTAGACGCCCCAATCCTCCGCCGATAGCGAGAACGATACGTCCATGGACTCGCCAGCTTGTAGCTCGATCTTTTTAAACTTCTTCAGCATCTTTATCTCTGGCACCGAGATCTTGCGAAATGGCTGAATGAGGAACAACATGACCGTCTCCTTGCCAGAGCGCGAGCCAGTGTTTGTGACCGTGACTGTGGCGGTAAGCGTGTCGTCCGCGTTGGTGATGGTTGTCTTGTCCAGCGTAACGGAGGTGTACTGAAACTCTGTGTAACTGAGACCCGCACCAAAGTCCCATTGCATCCAGCAGTTGTCATACGCGCAGCGCGTCGTGACAAGATGGTTGTACGGAATGGCAACGTTGGCCGGGTCCTTTGGATACGTGATCGGTAGTTTACCGCTGGGATTTACGTCTCCGTACAGGATCTCTGCGATAGCCTGGCCGCCTTGTTCACATGGTAGCATGCCATTAATAATAGCAGCGGCATTGTCTGGAATCGACCCAAGCAGTCGTGGACGGCCTTCAAACAGTACCACAATAACCTTGGTTCCCGTAGCTGCCAAAGCTTCGATAAATTTCTCCTGACCCTCGGGCAACGCAAGGTTGTCAATGTCTCCAGGCTTCTCCGTGTAGTTGGGTTCTCCGATAACTGCGACAGTATATTCGTGCTGACCGGCAAGTTCAACGGACTTGGCCAGGTCTACATCCAAGATAGATCCATTGACTAGAAGCCCGTTGTAGTGTGTAAATGAATTGTTGCCGACCAAATTCTCCAGACCTTGGCGGACTGAGACGCCGTGTGGAAACATTGCATTACCCGAATGGCCCTGCCACGTCAATGTCCAACCACCGCACTGGTACCCTACGTTGTCGGAAGAGTGACCCGTGAGGAACACTGATGCACTTTTAGGTAGGGGCAACACGCCATTTTCATTTTTGAGCAGCACAATGGATTCGCGTGCTATCTCCAGCGCGGTCTCCTTGTCCTTAGTATTGCCAACCATCGACACGTAGTCTTCGCCCGGCACTGGATTGTCGTAGAGGCCAAGTTGGAGCTTCAGTCTGATGACGCGTTTGGCGGACTCGCGCAGCCGAGCCTCTTGTTCAGGGTTCTCCTTGAGCATATTCAGACCGTATTTAATAAATTCCGTGTCCAGCGGCACCATGCTAATATCAATCGACGTTTGCGTCAAAGAGGTAGCTACAGCCTCTTCTCGCGTAGCCGAAACGCGGTGGAAATCGTGCAAGTTATAAATTTCGTTCCAGTCAGAAACAAGCACTCCGTTGAATTCGAGGTCCGACCGGAGGAGGTCGTTCAGAATTTTCGAGCTAGCAATCACCGGATCACCGTTTAGGGAAACGTAGTTCTCCATTGTCGTCAATGCTCCGGCCTCGATCGCGGCTTTGAATGGCGGTAAAAAGTTGTTAAGTAAGTCAAATTTCGAGATCAGAACACTGTCGCGGTCGTGACCAGTGGACGTCTCAGAGTACCCGATAAAGTGCTTAATGCAAGCGGCGGTTTGATTAGAGCTCTGAAGTCCAAGGATGTAAGATTCTCCCATCACTGAACAAAGGTACGGGTCTTCACCGAACGTCTCGTAGGTACGAGCCCATAACGAGTTCTGCGAGATGTCGAGGATTGGACCAAAAATCCAAGGGATACCTGCAGCCTCAGTGTCCCGAGCAGTAATGCGGGCCATCTCGTAAACAAGGTCGGGGTTGAAGCTCGCACCGCAGTTGATTTGCTGCGGGAACAGCATGGCTCCTGTCACGTAACTCGCACCGTGGATGGAGTCAATGCCATATAGTATGGGATTGCCTCCATTCTCTTCCATTGTGATTTCTTGAATACGATGGATAAGAGATCGAAACTCAGTGGCACTGTAGCCGTAATCTCCGTCGACAGGCTGGTCACCCCAAAATGTATTGAGATACGACCCAACGTTCATCCTCGCAAAAGTGCGCACTGCGGTCTCGTTAAGCTCACCAGTGGCCATGTTCATGATGGTACTGAGATCGAGTTGCGTCATCTGCCCCAATACCTCAGCTACGGAGAATCCGTCCACAATTGCCTGGGCTTTCACATCAAGCGCATCCTTCTCGCCAGAAGCGAAGGCGATGACGATACTGGGTACGATTGCTGTGACTAACCAGGACTTGAGCATTATGCTGACTTTGACGTGATTATCGGCAGTCCGTTGGTTTGTACTGCGAGTTGGAATGAGGAAATTGAAGAGTGATCAGAGCCAGCAAAGACGCGTATTCGACCAGTCACGACTGCCAGAAGGGTGACATGGCGATCGTTGCGAAGCCAGCTTTGTTTGACGAAAGAAAAACTTTCAATGACAAGGAGCTGTTCCGTCATTCGTTCTAAATGCAGACTATTATCGTAGTTGACGTCCGTTACATGCAATGGATATCGGTAAGAAATGTTTCATACTTGCTATCTTTTACCGCGCATAGAGGCAAAATGGATCGCATCATTTGGAATGACAACAAACACATTCATATCGTTTGTATCATCAAGATCTATGACAGCAAAGTAATGGAAGCAAAACCTGATTTTGCTACAAAAAAACGGCACTAGAGCTAGACGACAGCCTTTTTTCAAGGAGGAAAGCCTCGGTCATAACGAGTCGATGTTACGTTATGGTTTCGCATCTTTTTAGCATAGTTGTGCATGTAACGTATGTCTAACATGCGATGATAGACGGCCATTATTTGGTTGTCGCCTTCATTTTGTCGTGGACAAGAAATGATAGCAAACAAGACTTCATGATGTGTGTGCATCGATTCAAAACGCATTCTCTGACATCCAAGTGCATGGTACAAAGGACTTTTGCTACATGCAAAACTTTGAAACGGTTTATTCCATTGATGGCCGTTTGTTTCATTGAAGAAGGACTTGGTTTGACCAAGATGACACCAAAGATCATAAACAAGCGTTACATGTTATTTTCGTCATGATTCGTGTAGGTGACAGCCTGCCAAGTAGCGTGCGCTATCTTTAACATCTGCAAGCTGTGACAGTTTTTTGTCGCTCAGATTCAAGCTTGTTCCTGTCTAATCACGTATCTTGTCAAATGATACGATGCATACATTCATGCAGCATAAGATATACACTGCATGCTTTGGTTTGAAGTCTCTTGAAGGCGTCTTGAGAATTTATCTACGCAAAGATGGAGAACTAGTACAAAGAACTCGAATAAAGAGTACGTCCCGTAGTGTCATGACTATCAGTTATGCGTGATAGTTTCTAAAAGAGTTGACACGTTTCGATCATCATCAAACTGCATCATTGTCTTGCAGAATGTAGCACTGCTTCTATATGACGGGAGACGTCGCCATTTTTCTGCTACTTGTTCGACGTTCAAACCAAGTTTTGAACGTCACGTGCTTGCTAGTAGGCAAAAAATATGACATGTTGGACCATTAGAAAGAACATTCGACTGTATGTAGCATAATGAATGCGAGCTTCGTTGGTAACATATGAGTTAACTTGTATACGCTGCCATGGTAGACAAAAGGTTACGAAACGAAAGTAGATGCAGCTGTCGTGGGTTTACAAAAAATTTTCGATGAAAAAGTCGAGAGACTCACTCAATGTCGGGAGGTCGTCTGTGTCCGTACGAGTAAAGACTGCGTCGTCAAAAACAAAAGACGACGATACTGAGGACGGTGAAGTTCCGTTATTCTCCCTTATCGGGTAGAGATTCGTCCCATCTAAAGCCAAATGATCCATTGTAGGACATTGGAGCTCAAGCGCTTTCACTCCAGCAGTTACATTCATTACGACCACAGGTGGCGTCGATGCTGGAACGAATATCATCTCGTGTTGGTTCGGACGTGTATACTCGTTTCGAAGTTCATGGGAGAAACTGATGAGCGTATGTTGTGCTAAAATCTCGTGGTCGATGCGATGCTCACGGCGTTGGCGAATGGCCTTACCCGTTTGCAAGCCGTGCAGACGACGTGAGACCTTTTCCTGGTATTTCTGTGCATGCGTTTGCACCTGACGGACAGATCGAGTACCAACAAATCTTGTAATCACTTTCCATGGACCTTGTGGGTATTTTTTTAGCGCTTCAAGAAATCGATCGTGCTCTTCACTAGACCAAACGCCTACTGCTCGATTGAAGTGAGTTTTTGTAGTGGTTTTGAATTTGGATGGCGTTGTCGAGGTTAAGGTTGAGGTCGAGGTGGACGGCGAAGAGGGCAGCACCATCAAGGACGAGGAGGAATGTGAGAGGTCGATTGAAAGTCGTTGAGTCGCAATCGCTGCTATGAAGACAATTGAAGAGTGAGTGACGATCTACTAAGGCAGAAAACACACAAGATTAAAAGCTAGGACAGGCAAGAGCTTGTGCGTATAGGATGACCACAATTGGTTGAGATGCTAGACCATACATGCCAAGTCAGGCATGATTGACGTCTCCTTTTCCGCTAAATGCTGTCAAATATCACACCGTTACCAGTTCTCTAACAAAGAAAAACGCGTGGCACCACTTATTCCAGTCTGCGTACGTTTTGGTGGGCAAGAGTCCAGATAGCGCCGCGGATTTAAACACAGAAGGCCGAAAAATGCTCTGAACAGCGTTAGGTTCTAGTAATCAAGTGAGCTCATTTGCCAGCTCTGAAGCTAGCAAATGCTTGGATCAAAGAATCAAGTCGTAGACGTGGTAGCCATGGCGTGGAGCACCACATGATCAGTTTTCCATGAGCTTTACATTTAGTGGTCCATAACACGCTAGCTGCATGTGGTAGCTTGTAGGGCATCAGCCATTGCTAATGCAAAGGACCGTGCTCACTAAGACGATATTCAGATTAAAATGTTTCACCGCAAGTGACGAGACGGTAGTAACCGTGCTCCGTCAAAAGTTTGACGTCAAAGGCACGGCTGACACCTCCAAGCCCTTTTCTAGCTTCTAAGAGTCGGATGTCGGTCGGTATCGTCCTTCTTATTCGTTATCTGCCAAATCACTGGTCTTTCCTCTGCCACTGGTCAGCACTAACTCGGCCTGAAATCATTCGCGTGCCTGAGTCTTAGTCGATAATGTTCAGAGGCTCAAGTTTCAAAATGCTTGAAAATTTCAAGCGCAAGTTGAGCTGGAATTTCATCAATAGTAACTTGTCGAATGTTGGATAACAACGACGTTTAGTGTAATGTGTCGCAGTCGAATGTGTTTGGAGTGAGAAAGCTTTACACTGCACTCTGCCTTTGCTGTGGATTTTCTAACAAAGTCCTGATACGCAAAGAACTCATCGGTAAGTACAATCGAGCTCGTCTTGTTTCCTCCTTTTTGTTAGTATCCTGGCGAATCCTGCTCGACGAAAATCATTGAGGCTTCTCGTCGCACCTGAAACCGACCAGCTGTAAAACCAACGGCTACCCAACCAATCTACCACTAAACACATATATATCCATACACCACCACTCGGGCTAGTCTCCAGTACTTTCACCGACACATTAGATACTGCGAATGTGTCAGGCTCACATGCATAACCCAGTGTCTCAACTACGCCTTACTTATTCCGATGGAAAAAAGAGTTGCGCGGGTTGTGGTCGCTGTTGTGATTGCTACGACCTGAGCGAAAGATGCTTGAGCGGTAGCTACTTGGGCTACCTGATGACATGCCCGAGCTTGACTCCATGGGCGAGAGACTCAACGTCGAGGAGGACATGCGACTGCTTGAACTTCTGCTATCATTGTTGGCGAGGATCGAAATCCGCTGGAAATCTTCGACCTCCAGCGGTGGGGACCGCTCAACGCGGGGATGGGCCGGAGTAACCCAACCATTACCCTTATGCTGCTCCATTTGCGACAGAGTAATCCGCATGCTCGTTCCAATAAATTCTTTCGTGTGCACATGCACCTGAATATCTGGCCGCTCCGCAAGCTTCGGGATAACGAGCTGCATAAATCCATCCAACATCATCGGCGTCACGTACTTAAGTTCAACGCCCATTGGAAATGTGTCCGACACAATTGGACCGCCATCTAAAACGTTCTTAAGCCATCGCGTCATGTAGTCCAGCTTTTTCGGGTTGCCCTGCGCCCAATCCGTAAGCAACCGCTTCCATGGCACAGAACCCAGATTATAGTGCATGGACGGCGGGAAATTACGAATCTCTTCCCAATGATCTTTCACCCGACGTGCGTTGCCCTTACTAGAAACCTTGCTCTTGGCATGACCAATGCGTGCAGCACTTTTCAGGAGCAAGTGGTGCGCCTCGGCCGATTTTTGGTCCATGATGCCGTTGACCGCAGCCGTGGCAAGAAGCGACTTATCTGACGACAATGATGACAGCGAGCCACGGTTATTAGAAGCCGGAACAGCGCTGTTCGCTTGCGTAATACTGCCTATGTCTGTAGGCAACTCTCGTAATTCGCAAATGTACGAACGGAGCTTCTCGTATTCTGTCTCGATCGCCGCTAAATACGTTAAGTCCTTGCTTTCTTGGTCGCGGTAGGCCAGCTTCTGCACCTGTTCACCCACCTCCTTCGACTGTTGCCAGTTTTTTAGCGTACGATTCTCGGTCTTAAGGCGCTGGATTTCAGACTCTTGCTTTTCTAATTGCTGACGCAACTTTTCGTTCTCTTCGTGAAGTGCAGTGATCACTTCGTGACTCTCATCTAAAATACCACTAGTCCCGCTGAATCGATTATTAATCATCGAGCCCCGGGTCGAGCTGCTACTCCCTGTGCCACGATCGCTGCTAGACCCTGACGCGTTAGGTAAATCTGACGGACTCAGTGAATGAGTTTTACCGGATGGAGACGTCTTCGTTCCAGTGTGCACCTGCTTTCTATCCAACTTCATTTGAAGTTGCGCTACCTTGGAGCCAAGCTCTTTGTAAGCTTTCTCCTTTTCCATTTTGCGCAGAAACACAAGACGCAAAATCGAAAAACGAAAAAAACCCTGCAGCCGCGTTGCAGCAGCTACTTTCTTGAGGTAACGCTGCCGCTCCGTGTGCATGCGGCAGTGAGCCTGGAAACGCACAATGCGGTAGTCAAACTTGAGCACACGGTACATCTTTCGAGCCAAAACGCCGCGAAGTTGAGCCTGCAGCTGCACTACACCTCGACGCAGCGTCAAATACTGTTTGTGAATGACATAGCGGCGCCAGTACTTTTGGATGACCATAATTTGCTGCTTTTGTCGCACGAAATACCTGCGCGCAAGCCAGCCGCGCACGTTCTTCTGTAACACGCTTGCGTACTTCCGCAGCGCCCAGCCTCGTTTTGTCTCCAGCTCTTCTAAAACACCCTCACGAAAATAGACACGGGTCAAACCCACTTGATAGTCACGAATGTTGCGTCCCGGCAAAAGCTTCTCTGTCAGCTGTTCACATTGAGTCTTACTATGTTCCGTGTCTGAGTCGTTCAAGAATCTGTTCTGTGTCGGAATAGCACCGGTGAGAAGCACGCGAAACTTTTTTATACATTCCAGGTGCGGCATGCGACTGGGGTACGCGCTGCGAGACACTCGAATGGCTTCAATAACTCCAGCACAACGCAGCTGGCTAACGATATCTCCGTGTGAAAAGCAGTGAGCACTCTTTAATGGGTTGGGTTTCAGACAACGCACGTAGTGTACCTCCGTAAGTCCAATTTTCTCCATCAGCTGTGACAAACTCTCCTTAAACTGTGTGCCCACCGTTGTACGACGCGTTTGAGCGTGTCCTCCCTTTTTCACACCACTGCTGCGCGTCCTGCCACGGGCGCTAGTACCACTATCACCATTAATGGCATTCACATCGTCCGTGAACATCTTGGACAAGATTTTAAGCTTGGACTTGCTCATGCATTGCTTAATATCCGGCAGGATAGCGTCGCGATGTTTGTCAAGAAAGCCCGATGCGTCGTAGGTCACCTTACCAGCGTAGTGATTGATGGAAAAAGCGCACTTGTTCAGCCGAGGAGTCTCCAAAAGCGGATTATTTTCCATCACGGCACCTAATTTACTTGCAAATGACGCGTCCGTACCCGTGGCAAGTAGCGATTCCTCGTTTAAAAAGCTGATAACACCAAGGCGACCTTCAATAAGGTTCAGCACGTCCTGGTTGTCTGCAAAAGTGATGTGAGACCACGAAATATTTTCCTCTTCGTACTCAATCTGTACCGTCTTCAGCACGTCCTGCACAAACTTTTGCTGCAGTTTTTCGTTGGCGTAGTTAATGCAAAACTGCTCAAACGAGTTGGTCTCGAAGTGCTCGAAACCAAAGATATCTAAAATGCCAATGAACGACCCCACCCCCTTGGTCTTTACTCCAATAGTCTGGTTAATCTGCTCCACAAGCCATAGGAATAACTTCGAGTACAAGCTCTTTGCCAACGCATCACGACAATCGGCCGCCTGGTCGTGCGTCATTGGCTTCAGAATGACTTCACGGCCCACAAATACATTACGGTTGCACACTGCACGCTCCAGTGCGTCTGGCTCGACACCAAGCAAACGACAAGCTACGCTAAAATGCTTGACATCTAAAAGTTGTGAGGCATCCACATCACCATTTCGCGTCGTAAACTCTGTCTCACCCAAATGAAGTACGGCACCTAGAATCTGGATAATCTCCTGTTGCAATGGCTGTGCAATGCCAACAAGCTCAAGAGCTTCTCGAGTGCGACGCAGATCACCTTCATCATCACCACCAGGACCTTGAGTCTTTACAGACACATATTTAAATGAATCGACCATATCAAGTTCCAAGGTCGGTAACTGTTTCCGCTGTGCTAGTAATTGATAGAAAATATGAAAGTTCCGTTCTCCATGAGCTTGCGTCGTGACTCGACTTTTCTCTAATAAATACGTGCGTGACCTGGCACCAATTAATTGACCTTCAATTGTAAACTGAAGCTCGGTAAATTTCCCAAAACGACTGGAATTATCATTGCGCACGGTTTTCGCATTCCCAAATGATTCAAGCAATGGATTTGCTTGAATAATCTGCTGAATCACTTTCGAATTCGAATTTGTCGCCAATGCTGCTAAATGACTCATGACAATCTTTGTTGTCTCGGTTTTTCCAGCGCCTGATTCACCTGATACTAGAATACTCTGATTCTCATGCTTTTGTCTCATATTGAAAAAAGCTTCCATGGAGATAGCATAAACATGTGGAGGTTTGTTTTCTCGTTTTCCATCGCTAAATCTTTCCATCGTAGGTTTAGAGTATAAATTTAGCCATTGATATGGATTCACAGCTATACAAATTCGACCCGTATAAGTGTCTAACATACATAAAGATTAATACCAATTATAAGTGAATTAGTATTGATATATATACAAGCATATAATGAATAAAATCTGGATAAAATCCATCCTTTCATTTCAAAACACAAGGATCATAAACGAACGAAATCTCTAAACTTACATAAAACGTACATGGCAATTGTCGAAAAAACCGTCGTCTCAGATTATAGAGAATCGATGCTTCGTGTAAATGATCAATAAGAATCATATCATCAAATCCATTTGCACTATCACTTGAATTTTGTAACGGCAATGATGGTTTATTCTCTTCTGATTCCACCGATGTATTCTTTGCATTAAGTGCTTCTAATACGGATAAATCAGTCAAATCGACTGAACGTTGAGTACCAGCAAAAGATTTGAGTTCACGCTCCGACGGAATGAACTCGAGTACCGACATATCTCGCACTCCTACGACTTCATCAAGTCGTACAGTTAATTGTTTACCATTGTCTTTTGTACCACAGATAACACCAGGTAACCACACGTGGTCTACGTCAGGTGCAAATATCTAAAAAATTGGTTAGAGATACAAAAAAAAACATTAGCCTAAAGCGACAGGGGAGGCAACCTTTCAAAAAAACCGTAACAGAGAGTAAAGGCGGGGTAGGTGCACCTTAATTCCCTCCATTTGAATGATTGCTTTTTCGATTCGTCCTTCCACGCTGTGCACTTTTCCTTTTACAAGTTTCTTGCTGTTCTCTTTATAGACTTGTTCCTATCTACTGTACAGCTCCTGTTCCCTCCTGTCGTCTGCGCGAGTGAACACTTGGCGTTTTTTTTATCCTTTACCCCCTACTTTTTATGAGGTTAGGTTATACAATAGATTGAATTCATCCAATCAGAGCGTGGTAAAAATAACCACATCTTATGTGGCGTACGCAATCAAATGCCCATAACCAATTGAAGTTATAGGTATAACCACTCTTTCGTCGACCGAACGCACATTTAGTTGACAAATTTCTTGTTAAGTATTGTATCTATCCTAAGATTGTTTAGGGGAAAAAAAGGATGGTGTTTCGATAGTGTGTTGTTGCTACTGGGTACTAAGACAAACGATGTGAAATTATCTTGTAGTTTCTATCGATACAAAAAAAAAGAAGGAATTGTAAAACGAAAGATTAGCAAACCTTGTTGAATCATGTTAAACTCAGGTTTCTCACATAGCCAGGAGTAATCATCAATCCATGTCGAAAGAGGACTCAATGTTTCTTGCCGATGTTGAACGTCAGTAATACAAAAGTTTTACGTGAAAAGATGAAAAAAAAGATACGCAAGTACTTAAAAAAAGAGAAAAGTTTGAGACATAGAAAGGTAAGGTCAACGTTTGAGCGGCTTGTATCGCTAAATACGCATGGATATTTGTTGCGTTTCATTGGTAGGATAGAAGGAAGAGAGACTACATGTTTATATTGCAACAGAACAATGTGGAATCCGTAGTAATAGACGTATAGACACATCTATGCTGGATGCATGAGAAATATCGTCATTGACCTTGTTTTCATTCGGCTACGACCGCTTCTCTTTCAATTAGTTGGCACGTAATTGCCACTGAATATTCTCCGCTGCTATTGCATTTTCCAGTTCTTTTGGATCCTTATAGTACTCATGTAGTCTTGGAAATAACAAGTGGACTGGATCTACTTTTTTTCTCTTTCATATAGTGAATCCACAGAGTCACAAGAGGATTTTTCAAAGGCTCTTCGTTCGTCTGGATCCTCAACAAGGACAAGATGTATTCATCAGATTTTCCTTCACTTGACCAGGTCTTAAACAGCGCCAATCCGTAATCCCAAGCAGTCGTCTTCCAAATGGGTTGACTGGGGTTCTTTTTTTTCTGCCTTTACTATAATGTCGACTAGATCACTCGTCTTGTACATCTTTGCCATTTCCTTGATGAGCATTTCGTACACCTTCTCATCATCTACAAGGTCCTTATCAAGGGAATTCTCGTGACGATGCGTGAGAAATGCCGTCCATTGTGCGAGTAATCGACGGTCTAGAACATTGTCCTTATTGAAATTGAGCCATTTAAAGACATTGGATGGCAGCATGTCTTTGTCTGCCCAATACTTTATCTGCGCATCCTCCAAATCGACAAGTTCTCTTTTTATCGGATATAAGGTTATTGCTTTTTCCAGCATACTGCGCACCCCCATATCTGCGTGAAAGTGTTCATTTGTCAACGTTAAGATAATCGCATATTGTGCCACGACATGGTCGCCTTGGAACATTGTGAGCACATCGTTTGCCCACTCTCGATAAGTCTTATGGCCAAAAAAATCATCCTCTGCATTGGTGATTTTCAAATTATGGTGATGGAAGCCCTCGTTCACGCGGATCTGATTGGCACATAAGACTAAAAGAGCTTTCATGTGCTCTACAACCTTTGGTATATCCCCAAATACTTCCGTGACCACACTTTTTACTGGCGTGACGAGAGAGGATAAATACCCTCTATCTTCAGAGTTTGTTAGTGGTTGGTTAGTGTCTGGCTCCTGATCATTCGTTCTTGAAAGATGTCTCTTGTCTTTGCCATCATCAAAACCAGCCCTTAAATGGTTTTCTGAAATGATATCCGTCTTCCTGAACGACATGCAGATAAAATTAAAGCACTCAATAAAACGATCCAATTGAATCGTGCTTGGATAATCATTCAGTTTACAAGTTGTACTCTTTCTGCTAGTATAGAACTTACGGAATGAGCATGCGCTTGAATGTCGTTCATACTACCCGAGCGCCCGTTTCTGATTTGTGGCTCGATAAGCTGAATCCACTGACTGGCGTCGTAAAAGTGACACGAGCTTGCGCTGGCTTTCTCTCGTAACGTGTTGTTGAGCACATTGGATCTTGCTGTTCCGTCTGGTGTCCTGGAAGATGTACAAATGTTTTTAACGCAGATTGTGCTGCTGCTTTGGTGGTGCAGGCTTTGATTGATTTACTCGGGCTATTCAGCTTTGATGTAATGTATAAATGTTACGAATTGATACATGATGCTGCACGTACAATGGTTGCGACGTATGATCTTAGAAATGATCCCAGCTCAAAAGCTATGGATTCAATTGAGCTAGGATTTACCTCTTCACTCATTACAAATGCTGGCACATATGCGTGCTATGGATACTAACGACAAATGAAAGCTTCTTCTAAGTTGATAAGCTTAAGGCATCACATGTCAAACTAAACGTCATCACGCCTTACTTGCTGTAGCGTTACGTACAAACACCTACGAGTGTTTGCAAGCAGTAAACTTCAACATCGATCAACGGCATGGAATTTTTTTGCATACAGCTTCTGCTGCCAATGCTAGTGCATTCACGTAAAGTACGTCAAAGTTCTTGCAAACCTTGGTAGCGAGATATTGCGATACAATCTCGAGTCCAAATTCAAAGCTGAAGCCGTCGAGTCATCGTTCGGACGTTGCATAGTTATCAAAGCATGAACCGGCCTTAAAAATTGCTTCTTACATATATTTTATACACGTACGCTGTAAGAAGATTAAAGACCAAACAGAATGCTCACTTGGTCTTCCACCTTCTTAGAGCTCTTTGTTATCATTTCTTATTGTGGCCTTGTGTTTCTAGCTTCGTAGCTACTACAGTCTGATACAAACCTACATGTTGATAGTTTCACAATCAATATCGAGTCACGCATGAGCTTTTTCAATTACATGTTGTAAACGGGTTTACGTAATGACGTTGTCAAGTAGACGAACGTACGTTCGGGTGAAATCGTGCAGATGTTTTGAGATATTCGACATCTGTTCCATAGAAAAACACATGTTACAATTTTACTCTAACCTTTATAAGTACTTTATCATCAAATACTTAAAAATTTGGCATTTTGATGTGAGCAAAACGTACAAATTAAAGTATGAACTTCTAGAAGCATTTCATTCTGATTCTAAATACTTTTAGCAAGCAACTTAAATTGCCTTTCATTGTTGCACTAGTTTAAAAAACAGGCACGCTGATCCGTCTGAACTGACCACCGGAAGGAACATGGTATTTTAGAAGCTTTAAAAAAATTAAATGAAAATTCAGTTAATTTATCTAAAGAAGAAATTAAATTATTAATGGAAATTTAAAATTTATTATTAAAAAAAGGAATTAATGAAAATAAATTTTTAGATAGACCTATTTCTGAGATTTTACAACCTAAAAATGGTAATATAATTTTTGGGAATTTTAAAGATAATTAAATAAATATGACAAAAATAATAGAAATAATAAACAAAACACAAAATTCAACAAATGAATTAAGAATGGTTTTAAGACCAAGTATGTTAGATTGTAGTATACTATTTATACTATGTAGTATTTATTACTTTATTCATTCTTTAATCTTAATCATACTATGCAAATAACGAATGGAACCCCTGCAAAATACTATTATTATTCAATCTCGTTTCATACTTTGACTCATTCTTTTTTTTCATCATGAACACTACTAGTCTTTACCATCATGACACGTCCGGATTATTTTCTGATCCGCTCCATGGCCACAGTTTTGTTTTAATGAACTTACATTCTCTCTCATCACTTGACTCGAGTTTTCTCTCTTTCCGGTCGTGTTTACTATGTCATGATCATCTTGTTAGCGTTCTGAATACGAAGTTTATTATATCAAAAAGACGTCGACGTAAACTCAAAAGTACTACTCTAAACGGTCCAAAAGTATTAACCGACGATCGAGTGTCTCAATGTATTAATTGTAGTACTTTTATCCATCGAGATTGTATTAGTTTTTTACATTATCATCGAAATTGTAGACATCATGAAAGTCTCGTACCTGTATGTGGTCAAGCTCCATTACTATTCCCAGATACAATATACTTGCCATTGATAGATCATGTACAGCACAAGACAAGACACAAGAATGAGACGCAAATGAGACTTTGGAGATTAGAGACGTTTACACTAGCAACGTTGATTGAAGAATTAGATAGTAGTAATAGTAATAATAGTACTATTTCTAGTAGTAGTCGTAGTAATACTACCGTCGGACCAAGTGCTATCCCATTAATCACAGGCCGATCGACATCCAAGCAATTGCTTACAGCGTCAAAGGTTGCAAAGAAGTGGGCTCCCTTACTAGCTGCTGGTGGTGTCATGGGAGCTCTTGCTATGGGTCCTGCAGCAGGAGTTATTGCTGGAATTAATATGCTTGTTGCAAGTGTCGGAGCTGAGACTGTCATGGCTGGGATTGGATTAACGGCAAGTGCAGCAGCAGCAGCTACTGTGACACATCAGAGCAAATTAAAAGCATCGCAGCGTAAACGAGAAAGGATTAGAAAAGGCGAGTGGGCGATGGAAATCTGCTGGAATTGTAAACAAAGCTTTGCCACTGCACAGTCGGACGAAGCTTGTCGAAAGGATGCGGAATTTCTCCGCCGTTTTCAGGTTACCAACTTGCAAAAGGACCGAGATCAAGCACATTGCTCGGACAAGAGTGATAATACACTTAAGGAAGCTCTTTCAAGTGATGAAAGAAGTTTGATGGTGTCATTGGAGACCATGCCAGATGATGCGGAAGTGTATCGATTCCTATTTCGTATTTTTGCTTCACCTGGTGAACTTCTTGGACAGATGAATGTTCAGCTATGTGAGGCGTTTCGTAAACGCTTTAATGATCGACACCAAAAGCAGCTGAGACGATCAAGTTTTATTAGAAAATCAAACTCTGCCAAGATAGATGGAGCTCGTACTTTGGCAAAGGATACTCTTCAAGATACCAAGATGTACATTGCGCACGTGCTAGGCGCGACGTTGCAGTGCTTTCCAAGTTTGGCAAGTACTTCTCAATCCATAAGCAGCTGTACTCTTGCTATTGAGCGTATTATTTACGACGACATTCATGCACTAGTGTTTCGTGAGTTTCGGCGAGCGTTTCAGGACGCAGAGACTGCATTTGCTTCAAACTTGGAGAATATTCGACGTGAAGAAAAGCATCACTCGTCGGCACTACTCCAACTACCACATCAGAACCAAAGCGATGGGAACATGAGACACCCTCAGCATGCTATGCTAGCGGAAGATCTTCAGAAGGCTGAAGCTAAAATGATCACCATGATGCAAGAGACATCTTCCCCGCTATTGAAACTAATGCTTCTCTGCGATGCTTTCAGGAGCATTTGCTGGTTTGCGGAGAAGCTGCACAAGTCAGCGTCTAACACAGACATGTTAATCCCCATTCTGTGCGCCTTCCTGGTGCAAAGTCCGCGAGTGTGTCGTGCTGATTCAGATTTTGTGGCAGAGATTGCTTTCATATCCTTCTTTACTAATGGCGGGGGCAAAGGTGTTGAGGGCTACGTGCTGACGATGTTTCAAGCGGCCATCCAGGTCATTGCAGCTGTTGATCTACCAAGTGGGCATGCAATGGAGCTAGAACTTTTCTTTGATGATGACAAAAGTGAAGCAAGTGATGAAACAGAAGATGACGAAGACAAGTTTTTTGATGCAATGTCTATTGCAACACGAGAGTCTCAATTGCAGCAGAGTTGAGTAGATGTGATTGTAGAGGGTGGAGAAAAGAGCGAGCATTGACGACTGTCGTGAATACTATCTTGACTGGATGCATTAGGAATGATACACGCCATAGTGGATATTTTGACTTGATAGATACTTGAATTCTGCAAAAGGTTCACTTGGAATCAAGTCATGTGCCCGAAACACAGGCACGGAAAATATGGAACTAGACAAAGTGTTGATGTGTGTGGGGCTAAACTTGTCAAAATTATTCGAACATTGCTACAATCTACTAGTGTTTGTGGCAATTGGTGGTGAAAATGACGGACAAGATCAAGATACAATGGCTTGCATCATGCTTGGATACGCCTATGAGGTCTATTTTTTGCAATTGTGCCACCCTCTCTGTGAATTTATTCGTCTAGCCGAAACACGCTTTGACGTTGCCGGCCTTTTGCAACGGTCTTGTCAAGTGGAAGACACCGGAGACTGAGCGGCATTTGCTCTTAGTTTCATGTTCAACAACAAGGTGTATCGTGTTCAAGCTTGGTCAGTTGAAATCATTATTTGATTTGCGCTCTCAGTGTAACTGCTTCACACGTACCAGCACTACGTACATCTCTACTAACTATAATGGTCACCGGTCTCTGGTCTCAAGACGAGCATGCCAAGTTCCTGGTCGCCATTAAGCTCTATCCTCAAGGCCCATGGCGTCAAGTTGCAGCGTACGTGGGTACACGCTCCATTCGCCAAGTGCAGACGCATGCACAAAAATACCATGAAAAGGTAGTGCGACGCATGCGTGGACTGCGTAAAGGTCGCCGGTCTTCGGGTCGTAAGGAGCATCGCATCGACGACGATATGTTAGCCGCATGCAAGATGGGTGAGGGCTTTGGTGTTGTTCGACCCAACCGCATTGAAGCTTGGCATTCACTGCAGCAACGCTCGGCCATTCCAGAGTTTGGATCGACAGACCTTAAGGACGCGCTCTTACTGGATTCGACGCCTGGTTTAATGAGCCCAGGTGGTGTAGACTCTAACGGTATCAGTGACAACGTTCAGACCTCAGCTGCATCAAACACTTCTTGCCAGCTTCCATCGATCGATGAGTCACTTGATTTCTTGATTGAGCGTATGTCTGAAGCAAAGTACGAGAGTGTTCAAATTGAGCTTTAATGAATGACTTGCTATTGTGCTTCATCATCGATTAACGTGTTTCCAAATGCTGTCTAACAATAACCTCTATCCGATCTGGTCATGCCAAGCCTTTGCCACGAAAGACATGCTCATCTTTGCTCACGTTTCTTTAGTTGTCAGTGATAGCCGACCTGTATTCATTCGCCCTTTCAGATCAAAACCTGATGTAGCGACTCGTTTCGGTAGCCAATTGAAAAGACAAGACCTTACTGCAATGCGTATGTATACCCAAAGCTGATAAGGGGTCCAGCAGATACATCTCAGCATATCGTGGCGAAGCAGTGGCTACATGCCGCAGAAAGCAAGAGTATACGCCTTCCTTGTGAAGATGATAGCAAGTGCAGAGCGCTCGCGCATCATGCAATTTATTGGCAAAGCATGGAAATCACATACGGATCGCTGCGCAGTGTTCCAACTTAATGGATGGAAGTGACTTGCTATCGTTGCTAGAGAAGCTCAAAAGAGTTGGAGAGGGGCCGCATTAGCTTGACCGGGTGAAGGTTCGCGGCAAGCTCGCTCTTGCCGGCGTAAACCGTGAAATGTGGTCTGCAAGCGGACAGACGATCTCCGACACTGCTGTGCATGAGATGGTCTTGTTGAACCAGCTACGCATCGAGTTTTTACCCAACGCACCGTCGAGACTTGTGGATTAGGTTCGCGCCTGTGTTGACCTGGAATTGACGACCACACGCTCAAATGCCAGCAAGATGCTCTATCGGTCCAGATCATTCTCCGGACTTTCGAGGTCTACAGAAGAACTTGGAGCATCCTGAGGTCGACTGGCTACTCTTTCACGTCTGTGCACGGTCTATTCATCCAAGTAGAAGCTTTCAGCTCTTTTCCTTCATGTACTGCTTCGATTGTCTCGTTGACGTGATAACAGGACTCGTCGCATGAGCGCCTAATAAACCTCCCTTCAAGCAGGCGAGCTTTGTACCACTGCGATCAGTTAGAGCCATTTCATGACATGGCTACAACTGTCGAGTTTGGATTGTACCCTACATGACAAGCAGAGGTCACCGAGTGCGACGACAAACATGCCCGTCCGTTTCGATCGTATCCGATACGAGCACTTAAATTCGTGTTGTAAGGCTCATTCTTTGCTGCTCTCAAGGGTGAAGATATTGCGTATGTCTTCGTGGTGAGCACTTTGGCCAGTACGGTCGAGTTCACCAATGCAGTATGGGCGGGCACGTTCTCTAAGGATCCACCAGGACGCCTACATCGAACACTGGCTGAGGCTGCTCAACTCCAATGGCGGCGGCGATAGCACCAATCCTACTGCACGTTGGACACACCCGGGACACTATCTTCAGGTTCAGGTCGATCAACCAACGCCCATAGTTGCCTTCCAGCGTCAACCCCATCGCATTGAGCATTGCTGCCTCTCCCAACTCGAGCATAAGTTGTAGCGAAGTGGCACGAATATGCCTGTAGTGGGCGACAATAGCTTCAGCGTTGTACACTATTCAATGAGTCAGCGTAGAGCCATATCAGTGTTCCTATCAGTGCCGTGAGCGTTATTGTTTCCAAGAGTCAAAGAGATGGAGAATGAAGTCCAGACGATGCCGATATGAATCTTGCATATTTGCTGGTCTCACGTTGGATGAGCTATCCACGCTCATCCCTTCTGTGCTGCTTGCATCGAGGACGACGATAAATAATGAGCTTGATTAGTCCCATGAGGCTACGATCTCCGTTGTCTTTGACAGTAGAGACCACCGAGAGAAATTCCCCATGTCAGTGTTATTCGGCCCAAACGGCGAGTATGGTATAAAACGCCGAGTGGATTCGCGGCGGCCCGTTTTGGTTGGACGGCGGTAAGTGATTGCTGCAATGTGCACCCGCACAAGATCACCACGATAAAGCTGTTGGTTATGGCGGCTACGGTGAAGCCTACATCGGTACTTATCGCAAAGCAACTGTCGATCAAATTTCTGCTGCCTGATAGCTGAAAGAACTCGGACAGATTCAAGGCCATCCTAGGAAAGATCACAGTAGTCATGGCTATCGGACACCCTTACATTGATACAATCTTGGCGAGACTCGTTCTCAGGCTTGTGGCAGGGACGACTGACGTTAGCTACATGACCACCTATAGAAGACACAACTTTCACGAGCTTTCGACCTGTTCGAGGCTTGAAAAAAGTGCGCTTACGAATAACTCGGGCGTTGATGTAGCTGTTTATGATGCTTGCCCGCGATCCGACTCTTATTCACATCTTCATTGGATCAAAGTGTTGATTGAATGAAGGGCTCGCTCAAAAGTATAGCTCGAACATTATAACGCCCATCATCGGCACTTCGCTTTCGATGATGCCCACGCTCATGCTAGGCGATCAGTACGGCATTGGCGCTCACAACTTTCGCTCCCCACAATACTTCTCGTAGTAGACTTGCGTTTGCATTCTAGTCGCTTGTCCCGGGCGAGGCGTGATCCCAGCTGCAATTGATCATGCAGTTGTTGTAGGAACTACCTAAGCCCTGTATGATATGCATCGTAGGTTAGATACATTGGTGAGATCGTCTCAGTGCACAAGTGATAACTTATAAAGCGTGATGCTCATGTACCTCAGTAAAGAGGCATCTTTATGACCGCTGGATGTCATGGTGAGACTCCATGGAAGTGTAGGATGTTAGTGAATGATGAAGACGTACATAGGACGCATAGCTACATTGTTCAGTAAAATTGTAGATGTCGATGGGAGCGACGTTGATATCGTTGTCAATGATGGCCAGGGTGGATTTTCCAATGTCACTTCTACCGTGCTCTCGGCAGCATTGCGACCTCCCTCCAAAGTTTTAGACCAGTTTGAAACGCATAAGGCGCCTCACACACGCAAAACTTCATTAGGAAGTCATCGTTAGCATCTTATCGTCCAACTCGATAGCGCACTGGAATCTCTATTGTCGCGATGCCCCTCTTCAGCACGGTAACGGACATCGTTTCCGGGGCCGCTGATACTTTGACAGACACGACTCCAGACGACCCCACCCCCAACGGCAATCAGCTCGACCGAGACAGTTAGAGCGTCGAGCCCAGCCCCAGCAACGAGGACGCCGAGCCTAGCAGCGCAGACGTCGAGCTCAGCAGCAAGAACACCGAACTCAGTAGCGACGACACCGAGCTCAGCAGCGACGACACCGAGCGTAACTACACCAGAAACAGCACCAGTTATCGTAGAAGATTCCGCAGCAGCGGTAGACACACCGCCACCGGTAGAACCCAGTGCACCTGCCTCCGCACACAAGGCCTTGACGACGAATGCAAACTCGGAAGCAACGTCGACATCGGCGCCTGCTCTCAATTTCAGCTCGAGTTCTAGCTCTACTTTTGATACAGAGTACACGCCTGCACAGGCGTCGGCTTCAGCAAACGCTAGCGCTTCTACGACGATGATTATTACTGCAAGCTCCCTATCTAGTGACATTGATGATTCCTCTGGAGTTATTGTTGTGGAGACTGGCGACCGAGGTGCGTTCATACAGTGTGATAAAATTCTTATCTGTCAGTTTCCTTACCATTATGTGTTCTGGCCAGGTGTGTGCACAGGAGGCGTCATCTGCATTGTTGCGGGCTCCGTAGCTGCAGTACTGCTGATCATGGGGACTGCTTTTTGGTTTTACCGCCGCAAGATGCAAAAGCTAATCATACGATCGTCCTCATCGAATGCCTTCTACGACACTGGACAACATACTCCCATCGCCAACCCAATTATCTTGGAATGCTTTACGCCATCGTCCGCAGATCGTCACGGCCTCAACGGTTTTGACGGGACAGTGGACCTCGTTAGCACAGCGAACCTCGACTCCACACTGCATCTTGAAAGCAGCATGGATACACCAAAATCGTCCAGATCGAAAACTAGCTTATGGGAAGACGAAGCTATCACGGCAGCACGTATCCCAATGGAAAAGCTCATACGCAAGGAAAAAAATAAACGAAGGCGGCTACGGAGTCGTATACCGTGGCTTGTATCGTGATGAGTCTGTCGCGATCAAAGTGCTCCTGCCTGAGAAGAGAAGAGATATGCGTCAGATCAACACTTTTCTCTCCGAGATAAAGATGATGGCTGCTGTAGAGCACCCTTATATTGTGCGCTTTATCGGTGTAGCGTGGGACGCGCTCAGCGATCTCTGCGCAGTCTCAGAGTTCATGCGAGGTGGTGACTTGTTTGCGCTGCTAAGACGCTTTGACCGCGTGGAGCATCGCGTGCAAGGTTTCGACATCGACAAGGCTAAAATTGCACTTCATATAGCACAGGCATTAACATATCTGCACTCTCTTGACCCCATCGTATTGCACCGCGACCTCAAGTCGATGAATATCCTCCTGTCGGATGATTGGGAGGCGAAACTCACAGATTTCGGCGTTTCGCGAAGGTGGACGGTGGACACCATGACGGGAGGTGTCGGCACGAGACGCTGGATGGCACCCGAGGTTATGATGGGGAAGCGATACGACACGAGTGCCGACATTTTTTCGTTTGGTGTGGTGCTGTCGGAGCTCGACTCGCACCAGCCTCCGTACGCAAATGCCATCGCTAGCATCACCACCGAATTGGGCGAGAAAGTAACCGAGACGGCCTTAATGGAGATGGTGGCCATGGGTCGCGTTCGAGTTGATTTCTCATCGAGTGCACCGTCATTGGTAGTGGATCTGGGCCACGCCTGTGTGAACTTAAACCCGAGATTAAGGCCAAGCGCCAGCGAAGTGCATTACCAGTTACAGAAAATTCTACGCAGGTACCAGAAGTATACACTATAGTACCATTTACAGAAACAATGTTTTGGTTGTGAAGCAGAAAATGCCATAGAGTTATACACGAAGATAAACTAGTAGAGAATGAATCACTTGAACTACGATTGCAAGGACAGCCAATGCATCAATCGACACCCTTACGATGCTTGAAATGGGTACTTTCACTTCAACTTGACTCACTAAATGGGTATGTTATTCCAACATGTGTTGACCACATAACACTTGATTGACCCATATTTTCAAACCCAATTTTCAACTCCATCCTAGCCAACAAGATTCAATGGCGACCCAAGCACCTACTGATGACACACCTCTTTTGAATGCTAATGCCTCGACTACTACTGATTCCACAGTACTACCAACAATGTATCCAAAACCTATAACTGTATTAGTAATCGGTATGGCTGGAAGTGGTAAAACCACACTCATGCAACGTTTAACAGCCTATGGATTAGATACTGGAATGCGCACCTATATAATTAACTTGGATCCAGCAGTACGTAAGACTGGATATACTGCAAATGTTGATATTCGAGATACAGTGGACTATAAACAAGTTATGAAAGAATATGGTCTTGGACCAAATGGAGCCATTATGACGTCACTCAATTTGTTTGCTACTCGTTTCGATCAAGTTCTTGCTCTCCTCGCCAAGCGCAGTAACGACCTTGAGTACGTCCATTAGCTGCTACTATCATGAGATCTTCTTTATTGTATCATGTAACTACTTACATTATGCTATTAAAGCTATGCTATTGTAGATACTCCTGGACAAATTGAGGCATTCACATGGTCCGCATCAGGACAGATCATCACCGAATCACTAGCGTCTACTTTTCCGTCCGTGATTGTTTACGTAGTGGATACACCACGCACGGCCAGTCCAAACACATTTATGTCAAATATGCTCTACGCTTGCAGTATTCTATACAAGTTGAAGCTGCCATTTGTGGTAGTGTTTAATAAGATTGACGTGCTACGACACGATTTCGCAACCGAGTGGATGACGGACTTTGAAGCGTTTCAAAAAGCATTGGATGATGTACAGGATGATAGCTATATGGGAAGTCTCTCACGTTCGCTTAGTCTTGTATTGGAGGAGTTTTATAACAACTTGACGTCAGTGGGCGTATCCGCTGCGACTGGAGAGGGTATGCCCGAGTTTTTTCTTGCAATTAACAAAGCTGCCAAGCAGTATGAGAAGGAATACCTTCCAGATCTACTGGAGCGTATTAAGCAACAGCAGACAAAAAAGCATAAACAAGAAGAAGTGACACTTTCAAACGTGATGGCAGATTTGAATCTCTCGACTCCGTCTACTAAGGAAGAGACAAGTAACGTAGCTGCTGGTGAACGTACTGATTTGTAATATTTCTTAACCATGCATGACTTCCAGGAAGTCGGTTTGTTTTTGTCTCTGGTGTGTGCCTCCCTGTCTACATTTGTAATTTTGTTTACCTTTAACGTTTAGTTTTAATTAAGTGTTTTGCCACCTTTCATACAAAGTCTAGTATATAATAAATCATAATGGAGTCCCGAGTGAAACAAAGTGCTGCATTGTCAACGTGTAGTGCATCATTCTACGGACGTATCATCCCCCAAACCAGTGATCAAGATCAAGTAGCTGCTACATTGGCAGCATTAGACGCTTCAAGAGCTCATGAAATGTCCTCCACGACTTGCTATTGCACGACACGGACACTACGTAACGCCGTTTTAAGTGAATCACGTTTTTATCGTGTTTTATCCGAGTCGAAATTGTATTCAATTGATTTTGGTGGACCACACGATGAAATGCTACTGGAGAATTGTGATGTGGTTGACATGATGGAACGTCACGACATGCAACGACGCGTGTCGGCGCTTGTCGAGAGTGATTACAAGGTCGTTCGTATTCAGGAGTGGATGAAAACAAGTCATGGACGTACGTTATCAAGTAGGAAGAAGAGACAGGAGCAGATGATGATGATGATGCAGCAAAATTATTGCAATGGTGTGGTAGTGAGAGAGAGAGAGAAGAGCTAGGTGGTGTTTTATTTTTTCTTGATAGGAGGTGACTGATGATTTCTGTGTGAATGTTATGGAATTGTTTTTATTTTTTTCTTCTAGTAAATAGTGTCGTAAAAATGCCGGAAGAGATTGTAGCTAGCAATGGACGATTGCAATGTTTATTGGGTGCAACGAACGCACCGACGTGGTTTATTCGTCTTGCTCACGTTGAAAAGGCGTTTATGATGTTGTCGACAAAAGAGACGAAGAAAGCTGTAGAAGTTAGTCGTCATGTGACAGAGAAACACTTTCTAGAGCCATTACCAGAAGATGAAAAGCCAATTGTGGCGACAGGCAGGTTTTATTATCGAGTGCTAGTGCCTATTGAATTACGTCAAGCGCCGGATCTACTAGCACCCGTCATCTCTAAACATGTGTTGAAGAACGCAGAGGAGATTATTGAATGCCATGAGACCTATCGGTGTCCGCAAAGTGGAGTGACTTTTGTGAAGCTGGCATACGAAGATGGATGGCTCTTTGAGACGCTAAATTCAGGCATTAAGGTGCTCGAGAAACTTGCAACTGAGCCTGACAGTGAGTATGGTCATTTTTTTTATGTAGTGAAGATCCCAGTAGGGATCCGTGTAGCGCCTCATATTATGGCGCAGCGGTCGGGAAAGGGCTTCAAGTTGCACTCAATTGTGAAGGCGTCACAGCGCTTTACGCCGCCTGGAAGTAAAATCACATATGTTCGAGTATGCAAGGACAAAAACTCTCAGTGTGGTTGTTCAGACAGCCATACAGGTAAAGCAGCGAGCCTGAAGTCTGTGGCGCGTAAAAATAGCGCTGATTGCGGTGCTGAATTGCTGACTGAGGATAAGCCTTTTGGTTCATTGTCGGCACCATTGTCATGCCATGGAGGTTGGATCTTTGAGACAACCATGGACGGGCAGGTGGTGCTAGAGCCGATGGCGGAGCCAAAGGTGCGGCAGGTTAAGCGACTCTTTTATCGCGTTTTGGAGGATGTGAATGTGGTGCCTACACCGGCTGTTGGAAGAAAAGAAAGAAAGAAAACTGCAGCGCTAGATATGTTAAGCTCTTCTAGCCCTACAAGCAGACGTAAGCGTCTAAAAAGCACGCTAATCGAGTGCAGTGAAAGGCTTGTGCCTGCTGTGTCACCAGCCATGGCAGATACCGATGAAGGTGACCTGCCAGCGATAGGTTTTGTTAAGCTTCGACACGATCTGGGATGGATTTGCGAGCGACAGGTGCAATCCCCGTATAAGTTGCTCCTGGAACAGGTTGAAGGCTCTGCTGTTACGCGCGATTTAGCAAAATTTTACCGTGTACTAGTGCCACTGCATTTGCGGTCGGCTCCAGATTTCGAGTGTCCGAGACTGCCAGGGGTAGCTCCTATGACAGCGGGTACTGTTTTCGAAAGCAATCTCCAGTACACACCACCAGGTAGCCGCATCACGTACATTAAAGTGGCCAGTGCGTTTCATCCGACAGCAAATAGTGCGTACGATGGTTGGTTGTTCGATCAAACACCAAGCGGTGATCAGGTACTTGAGGCTGTGGATGAAGATCCAGAGAAGAAAAATGGTAAGTTTTTTTTTCCGGGTAAATTGTGCGAAGAAGAAAGTGCTGCTTTCACCTGAGCGGGCAAGCAAAGTGGTGCGCTATTTGTTTGAGAACGCAATCTTTTCGGCTGACATGGAGTACACACTGCCGCAGACACAAGAGAAATTTGTACGGCTGACGAAAGAGAAAGGTTGGGTTGCTCTTGACCCTCCGCGGCCACGAACAGATAGCATGTCGAGTGTTCCGCCCAGCCGCAGCGTTTCTCGCGTGAGTGCAAGTGGAGGTGAAGATGGTACACTGCGAACACTGGTGCAAATATCAGAAGAACTATATAATCTCTTCGCAATGCCGCCAAGTTGGGTAAGCATCGGGCATCCAAATCGTACGTGGTTTAAAGTTCCTGACGGGAATTGCCGCACGGTCCTTGCAGAGGAGACGATGCTGCAGATGTCTGTATTTGAGTCGCGCAACATATTAGCGTCGAGTTCTCAGGGTCGTGAGGGTGTGCCCCTCTCGCGAAAAGGAATACTCAGACTGAACGACGGTAACAGTGTATGGAGCTTCACGGTGGAAGAAATTAAGCATTCGGCCAGCGCACTGCTGTTCACATTCCCTTGGAAACAAGTGTGGTGGATCTTTGCGCTGGAGGGATCAGACGAGCGGCATTCTGTGGAATTGCAACACGGTCTCCGTGGTGGATTTCGCTCTATTTTGATGGACGGTGAGTCGCTACTACAGAACCGCAGCGTGACGGACATGCTGTGGGACTCCGGCAGCGAGTTTACTTTTACATGGAACGACCACACGTTCAAGGTTCTTATTACACTTGAAGGCGCCTTCTTTTCTCAGTATTTGCAGTTCTTTAGCTATACTCTCGTAGTCGACGAGGAAAACATCATTCCACTTGACCAGTGATGCCAAGTTACTACGCGACCGCTGTCAAAAAAGGTATATCCGTGATATTAGACGAAAAAAGAGAGATAATGAGTGTGGCAAGATTTTGCGCTACTTACACGTAAATGTTATCGACATGTAGGGCGTCGACTGGCGGTGAGTCGGCTTTTCTCTTTGGTGAGTTGTGTTGTTGAACCTGATTGGTGTGTCGTGGTTTGCTGCTTGAAGTCACTCATCCATGATTCGATGCAGAAGTTTGTGGCGGAAAGTCTAGTAGGGGCAAAAATTGCTGGATTTGTCGACCATTGCCTCGGCCGCCTTTGATTTGGAGCTGCTCTCGTCGAGTGGGAGTCGAAGTTCCACTGCACTAGTGCAGGACAGGTGCTGGCGCTGGACGAGGGAATCGTCGACGTGGTGTCAACTTTGACGGTTTTAGGTTCGCTTACCATGACTCAGGTGCTATCCATGCTTATTTCAAAGTCGCAGAACGTGAGGGTATCATCGTTATGAGGTGCATGACCCGCACCCATATCTTGAATTCTTTGCGCACCCACGCACCTGCGCACTCTTCGCATGATCTTATGGTATTTCTGCGTTGGGATTTGCACTTGTCGAACGGAGCGAGTACCGATGGCTGACGCGATGTACCTTCAAGGACCTCTGAGGTATTCCTTAATGGCGAGCAGAAAATAACGGTCGTGCTCGTCATTGTACCAGATCCGTGCTTCATGACGGTTGTTTTGCTATCTGTGAATATGTGGTGGTTTGATGACCCGTGAGAGTGGTTTGAGATGCACGGGTGAAAATGATATCGGATTCAGTACAGCTGCAGCAGCTTTTGAGGCTTGGTGGCCCTGCACAACAAGATGAAAAATGGCGACTTGCCCGTTGCGTACCTTGTCTGATACGTGTCCTGAGGGCAGTAGTTACACGACGTGTCTTGACGCGTTAAATTAGTTGCAACTTACAATAGACCTCGATAAAACTGATCTTGCACCCGTTAAAGACCACCTTAATGGCCTCACCTGTTGCTTATATGACAAGACAATAACTCCGAAGTTTTGGCATAATCTTCGAAACCTGTTTTTCACATTGTTAAATATATGCGTGGTCCTACCTGTTCGAGCGGCCGGGAACCGTCCGAGCCGTTGAGTTATAACCACTGAAGGTATGACAGAGTCCTGTTTTGCACGGTGCATACGGTAGTCGGTTTGAGTAAATCAACAACACAATTTGCTGGGAATTTTCGTGGCGCGGTCCAGACAAATTCGTGATTCCGCGGATTGCCGTCAAATACTAGTCGACTGTCCTGCAGATTGAGGCGATAAACAGTAAGGAGTACGTCGGTTTCTACCTCGAGCAAGGGTCTTGCCCTGTAAAATTTTCAGTAGATTCCTGTACTGTCCTCCATCAGGTGGCACGACACCAATGTACGCATGTCAACTCCTACGGACGCCCCATTTTAATCACGCCTGGGGCAATGACTTACCACTGGAAAGGCGTGCTTTAACGGCATTGGTTTGGAAATGCTAGCGCACTAGCGTTGCTGAGCAAAGCCCCGTCTATTAGCTGCGGCACGAGGCCAGGAGGACGATAATGTCCAGCATGAGTGGTGTGGCCCTCTTCTAGTGTATACGGGTAATGTTCGCACGAGAAGTTGTTTCAAAACAGCTTTCAAAGCCCCATGTGCAGGACCGGTCCTCGGCCGCTCGTCTTGCCTCAAAGCGGCAGTGGACAGCTAATAAAACGACTTAATGTGCTAGCTGCTCTAGGTCCTGTGAGCTCGTCAGCAAGGCTCACGGATCATCAAGTATGGGTTGCGTCTTCGATAGCGACGTCATCAAGGTAAATTGTCTTATACGGTTTAGTCAACTGAGAGTACATGTCCCTCCGAGACACGATGCGATCGTCGGCGTGGGCAGATTATGCCGACGATTGAAACCGTACGAGCACCTCATCAGAAATTATCTAAAGATCTTTAGGCGCTAAAGCTACTAGAGCGCAGCTCACCAGCAAATGGGAAGGCAAAGGGACACATTCTAGGCGCTTGGATGGACCGAGCCCGGGGTTGCTCTGCTGCTTCGAAGCCTCGTGACATCGCAAAGGTAATAAACAAACTTTGAAAAGCGACAAAGGAGAAGTGTCAAGTAAAAATGATGGCCTTCTGCGCAAAGTTTCTAGGCTATGCAAGCTCCAACGCGTCCTGATATCTTGACTTGAAGTCATACAATTCATCAGAATGGTAGCTAAATGCCTTGTTGCGCTCTTTGTATCGTTGTCTTTAGTATGTCGAGGTGCTGCGTCGAAACCACAAATTTTATCTAATGAGATGTTTTGTCTGGAGCAACATTGTCCTTTTCACTTATTTTTCCGGAAACGGAAGGCGTAGTGCTTGGTATAGGAATGCAATTTCCATAGCACTCTCTTCCAATTGTTCTAGACGACCACCGCCACCAAAATGACCATCATCATCACCCATTTTCAGCAGCATGAGGCGCTTGTCGCGCTTCGGCAGCAAACTCTGCACTTTACGCATTTTGTACATCCATTTGGCAGGCTCCCAAAATTGCACTCTCTGGTCGTTCAGGCTGCCGGTCACAAACATTGCAGGATACATCTGGTTTTCCCGCACATTTTCACATGGCGCGTAGGATCGAATGTATTCACGGGTCTTCGGGTTACTGGGATCTCCCCATTCATCATATTCATGAACGGTGAGCGGCAGTGTCGGATCTTGCATAGTAGCCAGTATGTCTACAAAAGGCACCTTCATAATCAGAGCTTGGTAGAGCTCTGGGTACTCGTTGGCCACGTATCCCATGATTAGACCACCGGCGCTCACTCCTTTTCCTGCGAGTCGTTTAGGATTCGTATATCCTGCATCGAGAAGGTGATGAGTGCACGATACGTAGTCATCGAACGTGTGACGTTTCTGCATACCCTTGCCTGCCTGGTACCATGGTAAGCCTAGCTCACCGCCGCCACGTACGTGAGCAAGTGCGATCACCCATCCGCGCTCCAGTAAACTCAAATGCTCGAGCTCGAAATCAGCTTCTAGATTGATGCCATATGCACCGTAACCGATGAGGAGCGCCGGGTTTTGACAATTTAACGTGACGTCACGCCGATGAATAAGGGTCAGGGGGATTTTTACTCCTGTGCTGCTCATACTAGGCACGTAACACCGTTCACAAGTGAATCGTTTGGGTTCCAACAACGACTTTGTGACCGTATTCGCGGTGTCACGTTTAGCAGAGCGATCTGTCAGTTCTGTCTTCTTGAGCACTTGTAGCTTTCTGCTCTTCATATCGTAGTCAAACACGATTTCTGGCACTAATGGCGTAGACACTTGAAATCGTACGTGGTGTGCTGCATAATCCCGATTGACACCAGGTACAATTCGACATATTTCGTGCTCCTTGGGTAACGGGATGTAATAATGAGGAGTGCTCGAGTTCGTCTCGTTTGTCTCTTCCAATGCCATCACTCGAATACGTGGCACACTGTTCCTGCGTTCATAGAGCACAAGGTATTTTTCAAACAGATCGACATCTTCAATCTTCACATCTTCATGCTCAGAAACAAATGTCTGCCATTGCTTCTCCGCCATGTCCATTCCAAATGTGGCAATCTTGTAATTGAGCGCACCATCAGCATTTGTGACAATGTAAAACTTTCCAGCAGCATGATCTGCAAAGTACAACGTACCAACCTCGCGCGGACGCAGCAGTCGAGGCTGTGCATCGATATCGTGACCATCCAGCGCGTAAATTTCCGACGTATTCTTTGAGTTGCAGTTGATCAGCACAAAACATCCGTCCTTTGTTTGCGATACATCCACGAAGAATGCTTTGTCCTGCTCTTCATAAATCTACTTCACCACAGCAAAATACAATGTCGCCACCTCTTGCGTTAGTTCTTTCCAACCTGTTTCTTTCTTTAACGCTTACACAATATCACGTCACATCACGTACCAGTTCCTGTCTCCGAGTGTCTAGATTGTATCGATACACTGCAAATGGTCGCCCATGACCATCTACTTTTGTATAGTAAAACAACCTCTTTGATGTGGAAGTCCACTCTACATTTTTGATGCCAACGACATCTTTCAGCAGCTGCAACTTTCCAGACTTCAAGTCTTTGAGTACAACTTGACACTGTTCGCTTTCGTTCTCCATCACCAGCAACAGCTGTGAAGCATCAGGAGAAATCTTCATACTCGAAACAAACTGAAAGCCATGATTAAGCAATGGCTCAATATTCTGATTCAATACTACTTGCTCTTCCCTTATTGACATCGTCGGTGCATCACGAAGTCTCCGGTAGTAAACGGGAAAGTTTTCGCCTGGTGCTTGTTTCATAAAGTATTCAAACTTACCAATGCACTCTGGTACGCTACACACATCGTCACCCACCAGACGATTTCGCAGTTCTACAGTAAAAGCACGCTCCACTCTACGAAATTTTAACTGGGCAAGTTGATTTGCCATGTACTGGCGCTCTAATTTGAGAAACCGTTGGAATCGAGGATTTTCACGGTCCTTGAGCCATTCCCAGGACGAATCGACAGCTGCATAACATCCAACTTCTGTTTGCTTGAGCAATGGTGACGCATGGAAACGATGGACAGCGAATCGATGATAGACGAAGTTCACAAGCCTTTGTGTGTGCATCATGACTGCTATTTTTCTCCTTTCAAATATGTGTGGCCCTGTTAGAAGTTATCACTTCTCACAGGTTGTCAAGCGTTCAAGTTTAACTTTAAGACCTGCTATAGGTAGCTTTCAACTTTACCTGATTGCTTACATATGTGATGGGACGAAGAGAGAAGAACGCTACGTAGGTGATCAAGATGTCAAGGTGGATAGACTAATGTATTTTTCCTTTTACTTTATACCGAATTTGAAAAGTCCAATACAAATGTGTTCTACAGGTTATGAGCCCAACGGAACGTGTTGGCGGTGCAGCCATAGGAGCTGAACCCGACGGTCAGAAAATGACTGGAGATCGCCAGTATAAGAAAAGTCGACAGTGACTGCAGCAGCACTAGACAAGATTCTCGCCATGCTTGGCAACATGTTGGAGCAGATGGGCAGCATGGAATTTTCTCAAACCGTACAAGTCGGCCGCCAACGCGAGGACTCTGGAGTCGAGCATTTTAGGTCGGTTTTTGGCTCAAATACAGGTGTAACGGATTACACGAAGGTGTGTATTGTACATACACACCTGCCACACCAATGTGGTGCAGCTGTATCTTGGGTACAAGAGTAGGCTCGATGTCACCGTACCTAAAGTACGAAGGGTCGCATCGTGGCAGAGAGCCACGTGGTTACTATACTTATATATACTTATTTAAGTATAGTGACTATGCATGTTTGCATAATAATAACAGGCTAAAGAGCCAGTAAATAGTGACTAGCACTAAGTATAGGATAGGTGCTTCTATATTTAGTGCTAGAAGATAAACATAAATATAAATCAGTTTCAAACCTGCTCTATAAGCATCACTGCTTGGAGCTTTCTATTCCTCCTGAGGAATTCAGTATCTTTGATACTAGTCTCTCTGAGACATCGGTTACGACAACCGATAGGCACAAGCTTACGAGCTAGCCTAGGAAGGGTTAAGCACCCTAAGACATCTAAGCTCTCTGAGCTTGTCTTCCTCTGCACATAGTGCATACGTAGCTTTGCTACAGTAGTTTGACTATTTTGCACATAGTGCATTTGCACATATTGTATAAGTAGCGTGGCTACAGTAGCTCGGCTACACCTGGTAGCACTTGTAGTCAATCCCGCACCTGGGTTTGCGACTACTTCTGTGTGTGAGAATGGACATCCATGAGATGTCAGCGGTTGGCCTGTCACAGGCACAACAGGAAGGGTTGCAGAAGCTGCTCCCTATCCTTGGCCCTAAGGGCGTGGAATACCTCATCGCCCAGGGCGAAGAAGAGGTTAACAAGCGTATTCATATACTTGAAGAATATAATAACGCTCTAGTCGAGCATGTAAAGGCACAGATGCCTTCTTCTGCGCCTTCGCCCATGGCGACTATGGCGCAAGAAGTGGTCCGCAGACCAAAACCCATACAAATGGAAGTCGATAAGTTCGACGGCAAAGAAGGTGACAACCTTATGCTTTGGTTCCGACAGGTCGAGTCTGCTATGTTTATAGCCGACATCACCTATGAACCGTACCGTGTGGGCTTTGCCACGGGCAAGTTAGGTGGTTTAGCCAAACAGTGGGCATTCACATGTGGTGCATCATTGCAAGATGCTTTTCCCACATGGGCCGATCTGAAAAGTTCAGATGACCCGGCAGTATGCACCGCCAAACCAAGCACACCGTAATCGGTCGCGGCTTTTGGCGTGTCGCCAAGGCAAGCGTGAGCTTGCGGCATATGTACAAGAGTTGAGAACTCTCATTGCTGCCATGGTCATAGACCCTATGCCTGAGGCAGTGACCGTCACGGTCTTCATAGAGGGCCTCCGAGTTGGCGTTGCCAGAACGGAAGTCTTCCGGGTAAACCCGTCCTCATTCGAGGAAGCTGTTGGAGTGGCATGGAATGCCGTGACCAACTTTAAGGCCGCTAGGCCTGCCACTTATAACTACTCGTCTGATGGGTCTGTACTCGATGGACTGTAGTCAAGTAGAGGATGAAGAAGCTGAGCTTCATGCTGCAGAGCAGCAAATTGTGCGCAGATTTTATATCTGCAAGAGCACAAGCCATTTGATGGCAAAATGCCCTGCAAGAAAGGCATATTTGGCCTCGAAGGGCCGACGCCCCATGAGTAAACCTTCTGGCTTGCCACGGGGAAACGGCGGAACCCAGTAGGCGTGGGGCGATCTACTGGGGAAGAACTGAGTTTTGTTGAACCTCTAGGAGGTAGAAGTAAACAGGGTCCAGCCCCAAAGAGATCCGAACTCTCAAAAACGGTACGAGAATGCAAGCCAGGCTTGCTAGTCGTCGAAGGGACGATTAAGGGCTATGATAAGCCATGGATCATTTTGATCGATTCGGGGGCATCGGGCAACTATGTGCGCCGTGCCTCCGTGGAAGGTAGTCAGCAGTATGCTGAAGCGCTTGTAGCGCGTGAGTGTGACACAGTCACAGTTCGCTTAGCGACGGGTACGCGTGTTACGGTAGCCAAAGTCCCGATGTACTGACGAAGAGGTAATCAAGTCTCTTGACGCTGCACAGCGTCGTCAACTTGATGACGAGGCCGAGGCAGCCGCCTTGGCACGGCCCAAACAGCGGTTTTCACGTCATAATTATGGGTTCGTGCTTTGGAATACCAATGAGGAAGTTTGACGAGCTGCATCGCAATCTTTTCGCACTTATGTCATTGGGTCCCAGGCTCGTAATGCTTGCAAGGTTGCGGATTGTGCCGCTCTTTGTAAGCGGCTCCTTACTTTCCAGGAGTTTACGATGAAATCGTATTAGGAGCGACTGTCACGACAGTTACGTGGAGTGCCCGTGCATCCACTGAACGGCATACCAGCGGTGCTTGCACCAGGTGAAACATCTGCACAAGATGATTACCAGCTCACCCGCTGGGCAGAACGAGCATGTAAGCTCTCAAGTTTGTCTAACTTGCGCTTAAACGCTAAAGCGCAAGACATTTGGTTAGAACTTCGTCTACGTTTAACTTCGCTAAGCTCAAAGCGAAACGTCAATTACCTTCCACATACAGGTCAAAGACTTGTGGGGAGCAAACTTCTGAAGCTGTTTTCCGTACCTCTCAGGCTAGTGATGTATACCGGCATTGGCTTCTTCTGAATGTCAGAGGAGAAACCATCCTATAGACCCTGCTTCCATAGCACCTAGTACTAGGAAGCGTCCGACGATAGCTGTTGTCGCTTCTGACCGCCCTGGTCAAAAGCGTCATCGGCGTCAAGGAAAACCTGTCGGAGGGGTACCTCATTCTCCCATGAGTCGTACGACTGGGGGCAACCCCTCCACTTTACTAAGTATTGGGTATGACCCTAGTGACGACGCCGAGCCTAGAGACGTTCCACGTGGAGCAGTTGATGACCCAGGTCATCAATCAGCGTCGGTGGAGGTCGATAACCCATTGACCTCATCATCTCTCTGAGATTGAGCGAGGCCAAACACAAAGTCCATTCTAATGGACTGTCACAACCCCGAGGGTACAGGCAAACTAGCCAACGGCGCAGCCATACTATGCGATGGTTTCACCCTTTGACACGTTTCACACGTGCGTACATAGGTGCCAACTCATTTGTACAACTTGGGCCACCAATAATGGGTGCTCACCGAGCTGTAGGTCTTCTCACGACCTAAATGAACTATCAATTGGTGTATCATGAGCCTCATAAAGTATCTCATACTTGAGGTCCTCATCATGAGGCACTACAACTCGAGGCTGGTCATCCGACCCTGTACTATAGTACAACAGACCATCGTTCAGTGCATAACGATGTAATCTCGCACGATTACGGGGTGACAACTTCACCTTAGAATTTTCAAACTCTGCGCTACCCAGAGCCTGCAGAATGGCAACACATGCCTCATCACGTACATACGCCACACGGATACGATCCGTTACTGACGAACTCAAAACGGTGAGATGAGCAAGCTCATAGTCAGGTCTACGCGATATCGCGTCAGCCAAAACATTCTGTTTTCCCGGCTTATACTTCATCTCAAAGTTATACTCCGCGAAAAAGGAGAACCAACGAGCCATTTTCTGCAAGAGATGAGGCGACTGTGTCGCTGTGCGTAACGACGCATGATCGGTAAAGATCACAAACGGCTTGAAGCCCAACAGGTGTACCCTGAACTTAACAAGGGCATACATCATCGCAAGTAGCTCCTTGTCATGGACGGTACAGTTCTTCTCTGCAGCTTTCAGCCGGCGAGACTCAAACGCGATGACACGTTCTCAACCCTCAAAGTCAACTTGCAAAAGTGCACTGCCAGTGGCAAAGTCCGAAGCGTCACATACGACGCTAAACGGGCGATAGGATCAGGTAGAGCCAGAATTGTCGCCTGAAGGAGACTCTTCTTAATGGCTTCGAAAGCCTCGTAAGGTCTCGGTGTTCCAACGCCATTCCACATCTTTTTTAAGGAGATTTGATAATGGCCTAGCCACTTCCGCATAGTTGTGGCTATACTTGTGCAAGTAATTTGCCAAACCCAACCACTTGCGGAGGTATTTTTGGTTCCTCGGAACCGGCCGATCCACTATGCCTTTGACCTTGACAGGGTCTGCCCGATCCTTGATATGGTCTGCCCGGATTCTTTGCTTCTCAATGAAGCATCCCAAAAGAGAATCTCTTCCGCACCGAAGATGCATTTGTCACTATTGGCATACAACTTGTGCATCCTCATGCAACCGAGTACAGCTTGCAGGTGCTTGATGTGATTCTCTACATCAGTCTTGCCATTTTTGGCTCGACTATGAACGAATATATCGTCAAAGTATGTCTGTGCATACGCCCTATGGGGCCGAAACAACTGCGTCACTAGACGATTGAACGTTGCAGGTGCGTTAGATAGCCCTTGGGGCATCACTAATCACTCCCAGAGCATACCGCTCGGAGTTCCGACCGCTGTCAGCGGGATATCACTAGCTCGCATGAGCAGTTGGTAATGTCCATCGACTAAGTCGAGGGCACTGCACATCGTACATCCGACCATATTGTTCTGAAGAACATCCTTGCGAGAAAGTTGGTGTTTGAGCCGGGATAGTGGCTGCATTCAGCTTATTGTAAGCATGCATTATTTGCCACTTCCCATTAGGCTTTCTCACACAAAACGTGGGCGTAGAGTGAGGACACTGACTCACTCTCACGCACCATGCCATCCGCGTGCTTTGCACGAAAGAACTCATCAATGACGTCATATTGTTCTCGTGGCAGCGGCCACTGTCGCGTCACACAGTATTTGGTTCCTGGAACCAAGTCAATCTCATGACGTACACCCTATCCGGAGGTCGTAAGAGGTTCTCTGGAGACAACATCTCCATATTCCTTCAACAAAGGAAAATAAGGATCCGTAGGGTCCTTCAGGATCTGTGATCCACTACGCGCATTCAGCGTCTTCTTGGTATCCTCAAGAACTGCTTTATCTAAAAGCGATGAGGAGTTTAACTCCTCCTCAGGTCGTATAACGACCACTTTGGCGATGTCGCCTGGCTGTAAGGCACTACCATACTCGGCAAAGGACAACTCGTCCAGCTCTAACAGAGCACTTACTGCGGGTATTGCTGAAAGAGCCACCCGCTTTCAACATCACCAGTCAAACCATTGACGAGTGTATATAGGTGTTTGCTATCACCGTCATTCACGATATCATTATCGGTACTCATGATGCTCTCAGTATCCGACGCATCAGCGTCCACAGGTGTACGTACACACCGCAAGGTCAAAGACCACTTTGTTTACTGACTGCACCCCATCCTCTTGGGTCAATGTCTCGTCATGAGGTGTTTGCACCTCGTTGTCCTCAAAGACAACCGTCATTTTTGACTTCACCCGACCCCTCCAAGTTGGCGTTACCAGAACGGAAGTCTTCCAGGTAAACCCGTCCTCATCCGAGGCAGCTTTTGGAGTGGCATGGAATGCCGAGACCAACTTTAATGCCGCTAGGCCTGCCGCTTATAACTACTCGTCTGATGGGTCGTTACCCATGGACTGTAGTCAAGTGGAGGATGAATGAGCTGAGATTCAAGCTGCGGAGCAGCATATTGTGCGCAGATGTTGTATCTGCAAGAGCACAAGCCATCTGATGGCAAAATACCCTGCTAGCAAGGCATATTTGGCCCTCGAAGGGCCGACGCCCCATGAGTAAACCTTCTGGTTTGCCGCGGGGAAACGGCGGAACTTAGTAGGCGCGAGGCACCCTACTGGGGTAGAACTGAGTTCTGTTGAGCCTCTAGGATGTAGAAGAAAACAGAACCCAGCCCCAAAGCGATCCGAACTCTCAAAAAACGGAACGAGAATGCAAGCCAGGCTTGCTAGTCGTCGAAGGGACAGTCAAGGGCTATGATAAGCCATGGATCATTTTTGATCGATTCGCTGGGGGCATCGGGCAACTATGTGCGCCGTGCCACCGTGGCAGGTAGTCAGCAGTATGCTGAAGCGCTTGTAGCGCGTGAGAGTGACACAGTCACAGTTCGCTTAGCGACTGGTAAGCGTGTTACGGTACCCAAAGTCTATATGGACTTCAACATAAAGTTTTTGT